TAATGGCCGTTTTGGCATTTTGGCCACTAGTGGCGGTTTTGGGATTTTGGCCACTAGTGACCGTTTTGCGATTTTTGCAACCAGTTGCTGTCTTGTGATTTTGGCCCCTAGTGGCTGTTTTCGCATTTTGGTCACTAATAAGCCACCCTAAGCTAACCAGCCAGCTGGTAGCTGGTCTTTTTCTTAATTTTATGATCATTTCCTTTATTCTTTTGACCTAAATGTTTGAATCAGGGGCGATACTGTTCGGTATTAGATGTTTATCACTCTATGACGTCAAAGGATCAACCACCCTGATATTCCACTTGGCCTCTTTAGGAGAGCACTTTAATAACACAAATTTTGTCGTGCTTTCATAGTTTCCCGCCCAATCCATTACGCCAGAAATAATTTTTGACCTTCTTTACCCTTTAATTGATTCATGAGATTGGAAATAAAGAGATTTAGGATCAATTTTAATATCTGAACAACTACACACCTACCGGTCCCCTCATTCAACAACAGCCTGTGCCTGCTACTACACACCTACCCGTCCCTTATTTCAACCACAGTGCGTGCTACCACACACCTACCCGTCCCTTATTTCAACAACAGTGCCTGCTACTACACACCTACCCGTCCTCTAATTCCACAAAAGTGCCTGCTTCTACACACCTACCCGTCCCTTATTTCAACAACAGTGCATGCTACTATACACCTACCCGTCCCTTATTTCAACAACAGTGCGTCCTACTACACACCTACCCGTCCTCTAATTCCACAACAGTGCCTGCTACTACACACCTACCCGTCCCTTATTTCAACAACAGTGCATGCTACTACACACCTATCCGTCCCTTATTTCAACAACAGTACATGCTACCACACACCTACCCGTCCCTTATTTCAACAACAGTGCGTGCTACCACACACCTACACGTCCCTTATTTCAACAACAGTGCATGCTACTACACACCTACCCATCCCTTATTTCAACAGCAGTGCGTGCTACCACACACTTACCCGTCCTCTAATTCCACAACAGTGCGTGCTCCTACACGCCTACCCCTCCCCTAATTCAACAACAGTGCGTGCCCAGATACTGACTTTGAAGCACGTTTCTCCGAAGTCCCGGTAACGTAACGGGCCCATAAAGCTGTTCTGTTTTCATTCAAGATGGGGATTTCAAAAATTTTGAAAATGATACAATAAAACTATCGGCTAAAGAAACAGAAAGGACTGGTTTTGGCGTAAGATCCTGCTTTCCTATCCTTTAACTTTTGATTTTAAAACATGGCTTCCAGCCCGTTAAGTTACCGGGACTTTCGAGAAACGGGTCCCTGATCAGAAATTCAGTAAGCGATCATCATTCGCGCGCACTCAAGACTTCGAATGAACAGCACTGGAATTTATCCAAATTGTAAGTATGGCGATGCATCTTTGAAGTACTGTTTATGTACCTAGAGGACGTCATGACGAAGGGCTTCCCAGTGTTAAAGCGATTAGGCAATATTTTGCGGCTGAAAGTCCAGCAATCATAATATTTTCGCCCCCACTAGAATTACTCACAAATCAAGAAAGTTTGAACAGGTCACACGATGATATGCAAAAAGATAAACAAATCAGCACGAGGGAATAAAGACTAAATCCCTCTACAAGCCTTATTTTAAGAAATACCTCTCAAATGATCTTTTAACATCCCGCTTTCGAATTAAGCTCCAAGAGGATCTTAAAACAAACAATCTAACCCCCTGCGTGAGCTCTCTTGACGTAGCCTGAGTTGCAGTTAACCCCAAAGCCGGTATGAATAACACGTCCGGCTTCACGACAGGCTACCCATCACGATGAGTCCACTCGATCTCTGAGGTGGTTTTCAAGTTGCAAGAGGGGAACATGCAACCTTATTCACGGGAGCCGAGCAACACAAGATTAGGAGATAATAACCCATGAATTTACTTTCTAGGTCTGCGCGCAGACATCACCCAGCTAAAAAATTGACTGATCATGAAAGACGCGGGACACAATCCCCGTACGTCTCGGTAGTTACCAGTCCCTTTTGTTGGTAGTGTTTCCATTTAGGATGGAAATTATGATGGTTTTTAAATTCAAGAAATAAAAAAATGACTGGAAGTGTAACAAAATGCATTAGTTTTTAACAAAGACCCGCACTATTGTTCCTTAGATTCAAATTTTGAAATATGATTTCGAGCCCAAGAACTTTTGAGAATTGGGCCACTAGTGGCTTTGAATTTTAAATGTATGTTGGCATGGTTCGAAGCCTTGCAGTTTATTCCTCCTGGCGTAACAGGAGAACAATAGTTTTATATTACATGGTGTTGTTAGCCACTTGTGACATCACCAGTGACAGAGAGCGTGACTCCAAACAATCCCTATGGTCAAAAATAAGTTGACTTGACTGAATTCTGTTGTTGATGCCGTTGATGATGTTCTGATGTTTTTCCACGATGTCCCTCTAATGTTTATTTGAGTGGTACTTGTTCTGGTGGCGGAAAAAGTACATCGCGATGGGACAAGGTTATGTGATGACGTCATAGGTGTAACAAGCGTAAAAGGCGAATTGTTAACTATAGCAGGAGAGATAGTAAGAAAAAAAACAGATCAAAAACAGAGACAAAATGATCTGGCAAGGAATGAGAGAAACGAGTTGAATTAAAAAATTTCAAGGTCAGAATTTCAAAAGCTTTTTCCTTGGAGTCGAGGTATTGTTTGACATGCAGGCGACGGCTGCCATTTTCTGGAAATAAATGGCGTCTGTTATAAAGAGAGATGTGTATTTCAGCCCCACAGTTATGCCCTCACTTTCCGTCCAATTCCTTCCACAATGACACACGATCATGGTCTACCTCGCAAACTTTCTCAGTGAGGGTTTAGAAAAGGAAGTATTTTGGTGAATTATCCCACGTTTAACCTAACACCCAGAGGGCCTAATTTTTTAGGCGAAGTTCTCTGGAACGGTAAGTCCTTTTTGCATAGCGATTGGAGATTTGCTCATCGTCAGAGTGAACTAATGGTTCTGTACTGAAGCTTAATGACATACAGTTGCCTTCTGAATCATAAAACCACTAGATTGGAAAAAAACGCACAAAAGGTACAAAGAGTTAGAGAATAGAATCAGTAAACTAGGTGGATGAACTAAGGTGTCGGTAAAAATGTGGTGCACTCACGTGAGAGTGAATTCTAAGGTTACCTCGGAACATAGTTAGTAGAGGGGGAATTAAAATTAATCTACCTCACAGTTTCAGGGGAAGCCAACTTGTGTCAACTTACCACACTGCTTACAAGTCAGCGGGCACTGCTTCTTCATGTTAGGATAATCACAATATTTTGCGTTTTCGGGACAATTCGACAAATGATCTTGACACAGAGCTTCTGTCCTATCGCCTACAAAGGGGAAATTAAGGATTATCACCGCTGTGCAACTAGAGGAGAATCTATGGGGTCTTGGAAAGGAGGCATGTTAGCCACAAAGCTCTTTCGTTAAGGGCCTCTTCTGGTTTAAGGATTTTTATCGCTGTAAATCTTATTACTTAGAGTTCTTACAAGAGGTTAGACAAAAATAGAGGAGATTTTAGGATTATAGGGGGAGTACGAAAAAATATGGCTGGGAATTCTGCTCGCAAGGAGATGTTTTTAATGTAATAAAAGTAACTTGTCTCAACGAAGTCGTTCCTTTGAAAAATTAAGGATTTCAGGGGTACTCTTGCTTTATGTAAAACAAACACACAAAAAAAAACCAGTTATCTAATTATGCAACGACAGCAATAGGAAGCCGCGCTTGAGTATCATTGCAAAGCGGGATATAACAACAGAAATTTCACCAATTGGAGCGCATTTCGTCCACAGTTAAAATTGAACCCTTAATAGGGTTTCTATCGTTTGCTTCGCGTTCTGTACCGGTTAAATTGTTATCATTGCGTTGACAGGTATATCAATGATGCGAGTTTTGACAGCGGTAAGGTTATGTGTCTTTTATAAGTAGCCTTTCTGATCTGATTATAGAGTAAACAGGCGTTTGTTTAGTAATAAACAAAACAAAAAAAGATAAATGTATTTTAAGCATAAATTCATCTCGATCGAGATAACATAAAAGCTCTCAGTCATTTTGGCTCCAGGTGATTGATATTTCTAACGACTAACTACAAAAGTATTCTACATTTTTACTATTAAGAGCATAATTCAATTATTATGTATGTTATGAGTAGTTTGTCGATTTTGAAACCCAAAAACTCTCAGCTCATGCCACTAAACGCAAATCTACAGGAAAATGCTTTAAGACGGGACAAAAAAAAAAGAAAAACACAGTTTGGTGCAATTTGTGATTTTCAGAAACATTTCGTTTAACCCTAGCGAGGGATGTAGTTCAGAAATACTCTCCACTTTTTCATTAACACATTGAATAAAGTCATAAGAAAGAGACAACTTTTTCCCGACTTGAAATCTTGACAAAAAGCTCGAGAAAGCCGTACGATAAGTTGCTGCGATAATTTATCTTCAGATCAGTTCTACGATCAAATCCTCATCTTAAGTAAGAAAGATTTTAAAAAGGGGACAGACCGACAGAAGACTTATGTGTGGAAAATAAGCTCAAGATGCTCTACAGAACTGTTCATGGGTAATTTTGTGGTAAGTAATTTGTTACAAACCTGCCTGTACTTGTCGACTTAGAGGGTGAATAAGGAATATTACGAAGAAAGTCCATTGCGAAAAATCCATGAATGCGGTACTTCCGTTGAAGGTCAAGTTGGCTTGGTGTGTTACTATTCTATTTTGAGCCGAAATTTCCCATTTAAGAATTCATGGGGAGTATCATATTTCGAAGGGGTAAATAAGTGTATCGAGGCGCATGATAGCCTGGGTCTCACGTGGTTGCCAAGCCAACGTTCTTCCTGATCGATACACCCTTCTGCCTCGCCTTGTCTTCAGTGACACGTCGTTTACAGTTCTTTAACTCTCGGAATAAATTGAAACGTAACTTCTTCTAATAACATCGATTTATTTTCAAGAAAACAGATGACGAGAATTGATAAACTCATCTGCTGAACGGTGGTTTGCTTACATATTAGTAAATTCGCTATGAAACTAATCCATAGCACAATTACGGGTGAGCTTTGAAAGAAAATGTAAAAATTATTAACCCTTTAAATCACAAGATCTGATTGCTAATTCTCCCCTCTAGCTGCTACGCAATTCCTTTCTGATTAGTTACTAGAATTTGACGTTAGATCAAGTCATCAACTTCTACTTGATAAGTTTGAGTATTCTCATTACCTGTTTACTGAATAGTGTATAGATATTAGAGGGAGAAGTTGCATGTTGATCACTTCTGGGAATGAAAGGGTTAATTAACAGAGCAGAAATGAAAAACGTTGATTTTGTAACGTAATATACAGAGAAATTACTAAAGAGACCTATAAGAAAAATTTAAAGATCATTCTTTCCACGGAAAAGTTAAACATAAATAAAGTAGTTTTCTAGTTCGTCCGACCTACTAGTCTCAGATATTTAATTTATTCTTATCTACAAACTGCTCTGCTTAAGCCTCACAGGGTTACTCTTAAAAAAATGAAAACAAAACAAAAAACAAAACAAAACAAAAAAAACAACTTTATCTTTGGATATTTTGAAAAGCAATCCGTTTGAAAAAACATATTCACTCTGGAAGCTACGGCAATCAAGTTTAATCCGGTATGGCACTGGTCCGAGGCCAAGGATACTTGTACCAGCCCAGTCGAAAGCAAAAATAAACCCATGGCTAGGCGTGCGTGACTTCGTCTCTTGCGGTTCTCCGTGTCTTACGCGGCTCAAGTGTTTTTACTTCGTGTTCTTGCCAGGTCTTGGTGACACTACCCTTCCTCCTGAGTGACTGTTGAGTTTTCTATGATATTTACATCACGACACTTAGTAGAAGAACGCTCTCATCATTTTGAACAATCACTGTTAAAGTTACCTCTGTAACAGGAATGCATACATCCACGAGACTGTCGTTATAGCCAAGATATTTGTTATTGATGCAGCTTTTCTGATGGCAATATTTTTTCGCTTTTTTCTGTCTTCTCCCAAATATTTTGTCCCTGATGCATTATCAGTGGTTTCGGTTGGAAAACTGGAGGAGCGTGGTAAAACATCCCTGGGGCTTTGAGCCTTGGTGAAGTCATTAAAAAAACTTATTGCTTTTTGCGTCTGTGACACCGAGTAAGTAGCTTGTGTTTTTGCAAGGCTGTATGAAAATGCTTCCAATGTTTGCGTTCGAGATGGAGCTTGTGATACCGAAGCGGCAATTTGTTCAGGAACCAGGCCGTCAAACGTAGCCGTCGAACTTTGCGGCGGAGTGAAAGTGTGCGTTGTAGCTTTGGTGGATATGCTTTGCGATGGAGTTACGGACAACGAGGGATGAATTGTGGCTGTAAAGAAAGTAGATTAGTCAGTAAACTAGAAACAAAACCTTAAAAAAGCTTTACAAAAATCATGATCGTGATAAATGGGCAAAAACTTAATAACGTACCGCACTGATTACAAGTCCGTGGACACTGCTGCCTTATGTTGTCGTATCTGCCGCAGTAATTTGCATAATCAGAACACTTGTCCAGTTTATCTTGACACAGTGGTGCTGAAGTGATAAGACATATTTAGACCCTGCTTAAACGGATAAATGTCAGGTGTGCACAATGGGACGGCTATTTTTAAGATATTATATTGAGCCTTGCACAAAATTCCAGTGAAACAAAAGAAATCGAAACTCCAGGATATTTCTACGCGCGATATTTGTTCTGTATTGGCGCAAAGGTAGAAATGTAGGAATATTTTTTCATGTGGGGTCAACAACCCTCCTACTTCTAAGAAATATCGAAGTTCTAGAGGAAGAGACACTTCTCCTAACTACGTCATCAAGTTTCCTTTGGGGCATTGTCATTATTGCAAACTATTCTGTTTTATGTTTTCGAGTCAATTGACGATGCCCAATTATGGTGTCGATTGTTACAGTAATTCCGCCGTAGCGATCGGAAGTTTTTACAAAAATTCCCCTCTGTAACAGATTTTTTTAGTCATCGTACAGTCCTGTGTAAATTGTTAATGAATTTACTGGTAAACAAAAGATGTAAAAGGATTAAAACTGGGAACGTAGTTACAAATGAGATAAGACGTGGAAAGATTTTCCCAAGAATAAAGGGAAAGATCTCTACGACCATTTTGAAAATAATGGCATCTTACTAAGTAGGATTATTCTTAACCCCACTGGAGGTGCATAGATTGGTTGCATTGATAAAGTTCAAAATCTGCCAGAAATTTTCGGCTTACCTGCTACTGTTAGGTGAGCTGAATAAAAGAATACTGAAAAGAAAGCAAACTTGGCGAGGTCCATTACTAAGCCCCAGCAAAGAAATCGACCCTGGTGTCAAGTTGAAATGGCTAGATACCGTTCTCTGGGAAGAAGTATCTTATGCTTTTAAGCACGGGATCATTTATATTTTATTGTATGTCATATAATAGCTGTGAGCTTAGAGAAATCAATTATGACGTCTTTCGGAAGTGGTTTGTATTTCACGCGCACAAGAAATTTCAAGAATTCCTTAGTGTTTACCAGCAACAGTAAAAAACATTGTTGCGGATTAATTCTACTTGTAGCTTTGATTCATCGCTAAAAAAAGCAATGAATACAATTCAAAACAAAGAGGAATTGACAGAAAGACATTTCTTGAAAAAACAATAACAACAAAAAGCATTCCATTCGGCGTATTTTAGTGTCAGAGCGATTACCAAAGAAGAGAAGTTAATTGACATTAACACTTTCAAATAATTATAATCCATTTCACTGCATTGGAAAGCTAATCAAAAAAGAAAACTAGGATTTTTTCTTAAAGGAAAAGTTCAGTTTTCTTTATCCTGCTCGAGGAGGAGATGTGAGCTCGGTCATATTACCCTCTGTACGACCTTGAACACGGAAACTTTTGTTTGCGATGTGAAAAATTTTCAGCGCCGGTTTGTTTGCTGTACGATTCCTGGAAGATGAAATAACTTCACTTTTTTTCTCAAGAAAGGCCGTCCCCTTACCTCAGGATAACGTTATAAACAGCTGTGTAAGCAAATCGACACGAAGTAAGCTTGGGCTCAATTTAATTCGTTGTATTGCCTTTAGGTTGATGAGAGAAAGAGAAAATCTGACCTTTATTTTGTCTCGATGAGGAAAAACGAGAGAAATAATCATACTCTGGAAATATAGGATGGAGTTCGCGCAAAAGGCTTTGATGCAGTCTCATATCGGCGCGACCCAGCATGGAAGCATAAGCTTATCTATCTAGAGGGTTCTTAGTGTGTGGGTTGAGGCAATCTTCTAAGCATTTGATAATTCCAAATACGCCAAATCAATAGGATTAGGTGGAAGTATCTATTAGCGTGCGCGACATTACGGATTTCGGCGATACAATAAAAGTGTTCAATAACGACGGTTTCTGATGACCCCAACTCAGCAGTTTGATTCAGTAATAATGAGTATGATAGGATGAAGATGATGTCAAAATCATAATAATGATACGAGGTGACCGAATCAAATTAGCTTCAGGGAAATTTATCATTAGTTTGCTCCCTCCCAAAAACAAACATCTCTCGCGCCATTCTGTTGAAAGTTCGAAGGGGACGGGCGCAGCCCAAAGCCAACTTGAGGGCCATAAAATCCAATTGAATTAACGGATTTTGATAGCAAAGTATTTCTGTCTACGAAAGTTATATCCTAATAATTTGAAGAGGTTATTTCCTGTCAGATTAAAAATGGGTATATTTCTTAACTTGTCACCTTATGCTTAGAAAAAAACGGAAATATTTATGATTATAAAAGTTGTCCCAGTCGAGTACAGAAGACTTCAACTTTCCCTCGACTTGACAAAAGGAAAGTTCAGTCTTGTGAGTCGCTATCAGGAAAGGCACTGAGAACACAAGTTAATTAAAAGTATGTGACCGGGTAAAAATGGCAACGGAAAAGACGGAACATGGGAGTGGCTGACGGAAGGGCGAGGAGCAGAAGCCTAGGAAATGCTACTTTTCAGTAATACGTCTAGAAACGTCTACACTACAGGGATATAGTTTTTGGTAGCTCATCATTGGGGTAAGCCTCGGAAGAGGGTGTATCTACCGTTTACTCACGTCAGCTCATTTAGTTAAGAAAAAAAAAAAGTCTTTTTATAGGATTACACAATTACTGGTGAACCAGTAGTTTCCATTGTGGTCCTTGCAAACAAATGAAACAAATGGTCTAAATTGAACATAACATCATTAAGAACATCATTAAGAACCCCAACCGGTCGGAGGCAAACCAGTTGGCTATTTACAAGCGTGGCCAAGGATCTGAACTCGGGGCTACCGTGAATCAAATCTAGTGGTCAGGGTGGAACTCGAACCCGGGAGCGGCGGATTACGAGTCCGACACTCTAACCACTCGGCCACACAGTAACGAAGGCTTTCCATTGGTCAACCTTTAGTTTATTCCCGTGTTTCATTTGTGATATATACCCCTCAATTCTGTCTCTGTTTTGTACCGTCATGCGCGTATGGCTCTGACAGACACTTGAGAGGCTGATGAAAACTGATTTTTTGTTGACCTCAGCCGGACTAATGTGATTAGAACCACAAAATTTAGTTCATCCAGTTGTTCTTTCAAAAAGTTATTGCTAGAAATACTAAGATTTGCAAGCAGATAGCGGACTGGTTGTAAGAAACTTTGAAAGTTTCTTATAACCAGTCCGCCAGGCATTTTTTTAGATTCGTGATCGCTCAAACAAAAAAGTTATTACGAAGCAACAACTTTACAGCGCGTGAAGGATCTGATAAAGGCTTAAGAAACCAATACTCAATATTGTTTTTCTTTGACAAGTTTTCTAGGAAGTGGAAATTGAAGTTTATAGCCTACGGGTCAAGCGCGAGACGACCTCGAAGACTACGCGCGCGTAGCGAGACTCCAGCGGTAAGTGCTGACCCTCTCGTTCTTCTTTCAGCTCTCGAAGCCTGTCGAGAGACGATTGACAGGTTAGAAGATGCGATGTCTTTCCTTCAGAAGCCCGCTTGACTTAAAAAAACCTGACGTATCAGTTTCTTGAACAAGCAGACTTGTCGAGGCGAAACTGGATTCAAGGCGGGTAAAGTGAAATTCCACTCGTCATGCCAGTTTTTGTTAACAGCTTTAACAAGTTTTGTGTGCTTTTGTGAGTACTGAGTAAACAGTGTTGACACTTGTCGAGGAAAACGTGTCGGTGTATTTGCGGCGGACTATCTAGCTTCAGATCGTAAACTTCCTAGGTGTCCCTTGCAAACAATGGACTTACAAGCTTGCAGTAACCATAATTTTTTCCTATTGAAATGTGCGTTTTAACCTGTTTTCACGGGGAAAAAATTTTTGCTAAACTTAGCGAACTTTCTCTCAAACCTGTTACATAAACAAAGTTCCTTATTTTTTCATCAATTGAAAGCACGTGAAAGACCACCCCGAAATCGAACTAACGAAAATATTTGACTCAAGAGGAAATTGTATCCACATTTTATTTGTCCTCTCTTGAATTGCTTCGAGGCTAACGAGGGTGACTTAGTCAGACTAATTTCTGAGTGGACAGATAACGTTCAGTTCCTTCTGTAAGAATGCTGCTCCCATGCGAAAAATCTATTTGTCTAATTACGGCGTTTCTTCTAGTAGGCGGCACAAGAACAACTGCAACAGGTATTCTGACGCACTTTTTTTAATTGCTGGGTGAGAAGAAGTAGAAAAATGATGGCTTCACTTTCATGCTGAAGGTTACTTGTGATTTATTATGATGTCTTGTTGAGTTATAATTGAAAAAGAGTTTCTTTGAAAAGACTTGGAAGTATTTTCGCTATTGCATAAATAGCGCTCTCTACTGCGAGGATCGTGCATCATACGTACTTGGAAGTAAAGTAAATCGTTATAATTTCATCGCTGTTTAAGGAAGAAATACGTCATTAAAAAAAATAAACCGGCTAGGACGAATCCTTCCTACTTGTGAACAATGTTGTCAAATATAGCAAGAAAGGCACATGGCGGTATTAAACATTACCGCTGATATATGCAGTCTTGTATATATGTCGATAAATGGCTAACGGTCAAAACACGCAAGTTACTTGTTCTCTAAGAATTATGAATTTTTCTTGATTTGGACCGACGACTTGAACAGCACTTCTTTTGTTGGTTGCAACGTCTTTAGGTAGGATAGAATGTACTCACTAAATAACGATGATTGCAGAACAACATGGGAAGCGAGAATCATGGATGAAAATGTTCTTCTTTCGCGGTTAATTGGGCTAGCCTTTCAGAATTCAGTTTTACTGTCTTCTATTATACGTTCTATATGGATTATACTGCGTGGTCCAGGTTTAAACAAAATTTTTGTCATGTGGGGAATTAGTGAGGAGCCCACACTGTCACTGTTCTCTTCCAGAATTTATTTCTCAGAAAAGCAGGCAGGACAACGTTACGCGAAGTCAACCTCGTTCCCAGGGTCTCTCATCTTCCCCTCCCCTGGAGCGAGCGAGGGGGACGGGAAGATGAGAGACCCCGGGAACGAGGTTGACGCGAAGTCTCTGGCCGACTAAAAACTACTCACAATGATTTACTTATTTCATGAACACACCTTGATCAAAATGTAAGTTGATTGGCTGTAAAGTTCTTCCTAACAAAGATAAACAAACTGATTTATCGGAGCGGACAGATCGAGACACTCGATTTCCGGCAGATAATTTTGAATCTTTACAATACTAATTATCCTGTTTCCGACAGTCACACCTGGGTAAAATCTCCGTCTATGGACGATCTGTTGTTGTTGTTGTTACTGTTGGTTTCAAATCTTCCAACTGACCAAGGAACGGGATAGGGAAAATTGAAATCATTCCTTTTGCTTCCCCCTTCTTTCAACCTCTTTAGGCCTTTATTTCAGCTTTTATTCTGACTTTTTAGGTATCAAGTACTTTTTGGCAACTTGTCCTCGGCAGAACTGTGATTCAGTGTGTGCAACATTTGGTTTCCAATGTGCTAAAGCGGGACAAAGCTTTCCAGCTTCATCTGCTTTGCCTATATTCGAATCTTTGGGAGTTTCGTGCAAAACTATCAACGGCACCGAACAATATCAAAATGGAGAGCAACCGTGTTACTTTGCGGAGTCTCACGTCCTGGAATGGGTCGGAGTGTGCGTCGGATTTAAGGGTATCCCTGAAACCATTGACTGCCACATAGCCAACAACCCTTACATCCGCAGGTTGTGTCCATGTTATGATCCTACAGGTAAGGCTTCTTGTGGGTTATTCTAGGGCGCTTTCTCTTCAGATCACCAATAAAAGTTGGTTCAACTGCCAACGCGTCTTGAAATAACCAAGGTTTTGTGCATTTGAAAGGTCCGGTATTCCGACTAAACCGGCCAACCTTTTGAATAATGGAGCGGTTAAACTTGTTTTTTTTTTTCCAAAAGCTACTCCAAGCCCGAATATATCCGGTAAACCACCGTATACAACAAAACCTCTCAAGACGAACAGGGCCGCTCTATCTACAGCTGACAACAAAGACCATTCGGAAGCTAATCCTTCAGAGCAGCAGATAGCCCAGATAGGCACAAGCGGCAATGCTGATAGAACAGTTCTCATTGTTTTGGCCGTTATTGCCGCTGTATTAGCGCTCTGTCTTTTGGGATTAGCAGTTCTCTTTATGCGGAATAAGAGAAAATTTATCAGGTAATTCATATCAAATAGTTATAAGCTAATTTATGCAGTTGTTTCTTTTCTCGAACTTTGGTCGTGTTTTTGGACGTGGACTTGTGTCAGTTTAATGTACAGTGTAATAATTTATCCTGGATATCTTGAGCCCCTATTATTGAGCCCCTATTACATATGAAGCCATCGTTGCTGCTAACCACCATTTCAAGGTCGGGGTTAAAGGAATCGAAATTCTAAGCACAACACCTCAATGATAAATCAAGTTGTCTATGCGAAATGCGTGGTTTCCTACAGCTTATCGTCACAGTTTCCACTGTGGCCCCTTAAACGAGTTGCGTTTCATTTTTTGGATCCTTAATCGCTTTCATTTTGTCATTCGCAATCCATTTCTATTTTCATTATTCTGAACCTTCTCGGGTAATTTCTTGGTCAATCCACGTCCGGCTTTTTTGATACATGTCTTCCCTGAAGGTAAACTATTGATTCACTTTTTTTTTAAGTTTAAGTGAACGCAGTTTACAAGGGCCCTGTCCAAAATAACTAAGAATATCTTAAATATCTTTTTGTAATAATTGACATTAACAGCTCTTTTGCATCCAATTGTCCCAAACCTAAAGGGCTACCCATGGCCAACCAACATTGGTTTATTTCTTATTGTAAGAATAAAATACAGACTATCCCCTTCTTAGCCAGAAAGGAGACAGATGTCCACAACGAAAAGCTTAATGTCAAATTTAGCAACAACAAGAACGATGCAGTCTTATCTGATATGATGGATGGTTTAGCTGTTGAGAATGAGACTGATGAAGAAACTAGGTGGGTGATGTGTTAATCATATTGTGACATTGTATACCTGACAACATAAGGTCTTGAAATGGTTGAAATGTTCTCAATTCCTGAATATACAGCAACTGCGAAATGAGATCGGTTAACTTCTCCCTACAAAACACAAACTTGAAGACTGATTCAGAGCAGAAAGAAAGGTAATAAAAGATATTCCGATTTATTGATAGCAAGCCATTTTGATATGAATTGTGGTTCTTGTCTCTAACGTTATTCGTTTTCAAAAAACTTAATCTTTTCTTCGATACTGTTGAACTCTAGATATGCGAGCCTACCAGAGAAATCCACAGACAACATTATGTATGCAAGGTAGGGTCTTGTTGGTGTCTTTTGCAGTTACACTCAATCAATTCTGGTTTTATTTTGAGGTGAAGAGAAATAATTATCACAGGAATGATAAGGGGTGCTGTACTGCATGCTCCTTTTAGCTTCATACATTTTTTTAAATCTGCAAAGCCACTCTAATCATGCAAATTACGAATACCTCGAGCTTTTCATATATTTCAGCTCGGTATATCTGGATGGACATCATGGTGCTGAAATTTTGGTGTCATGCTATCCACCTTACCATCCAACCGGCTCCGGCCGCGCCCATGTTTGAAAAAAACTCAACAATTTACTTGTCTTTTTATCTTATCTTTTTTGCTCCTAGCATTACCGAAGAAAAGAATATTTCTTGTGTGTCTGGTAACATCAACCACGTGTATGACAGGTGAAGTGAATTTTCAAAAATTATATCTCTTTTAACTTAATCATTTTGAACGGCATAAAATGAAAAACGATGTAAAATAAAAAACGATTTAAAACTGTTTTGAACGATGGACAAACCTCATCTTTTATAAGAATAGCAAGACAGTCGCTGGTTTGAACTCATCAGTAGCAAAGAACGAAACAAATGGACCTAGCTTTACGCAAGGAAACTGAAACGAAACCAACCGGTCATAACCGATAATGACTTTTGGTATTTGGGTTTTACTGCCGATAAGATTATTGCAAAACTGATCGATTAGTTGTCAAAAACCAGACCTATGAGACTCGACAGACAAGCAAATCCACAGTGAACTGTTATGATGACGACCACTTCCGCTCTATAGGACCAATTTAAGTACATTGCTTCACTCTTTGTCTGCAACTGGGACCTTCTTATTTCTAATCTTATATATATTTTTTATCTTCTATTGCATCAGATTGGTGTGAGATCATTTTGCTGAACCTCTTATGTCGAAGTTTTATAATCTTCAACAGTTGTGGAATCAGCGTAGCCTAGACTCTGTCATGATCATCATTGTGGTTTATGATCTGGCAACAATATCAAGCAAATCAAGACCGCTACCAAATAATTAGGATAAATGTGGTGTGAAAATAGTTTCAAAACTAGATGTCAGACAAATAGGGTGCCCAAAACGACGCAATAAAAAGTAATTATAACATCTATCCTTTTATGTATTTCCATCCCACAAGGGTGTTTAAATTGTAAACACATCGGTAACAATCCAAACATTGGAACTGAATGCCTAATGACAACCCGTATGAAAGTGAGTTTTAGGAAACCTAGTGTGACAAGGACAGTCGCACTTGAACTCGCTGCCTGTATTCTTTCCGTTATAAAATGATGGGGGTGAAGGGAACGTCCTACGCACGTTTCACAAACATCAAGAAAATAGAAATAAAGCATCACGAAAAATCGGATATACGAGTGTAAAATTCACGTAAGAGCAAAAAATTAACAGTTCATGGGGTTTTAATTTCATATTTTCACTGGTCACGAAAATAAAAAAGACTAAATCATTTATCACGCAAAAACTTCATCCCCCCCCACCCTCAATAATCAAATATCAGTAGCTAACGTTCAGCATTCTGATCGATTAGTCGTCATCCGGCGGTATTTAAAGCACCATGACCTTTATTAGTACGTTTTTAAAATGCAAACTGGCGTGTTTTCCTTGGCAGGCAAACTCACTTTTATACTGCTGACGATACTTGTCAAGGAAAACATCATGTGCCTCTGCAGAATTTTCCTTGGCCTAATCATCTTCCCTCACGTAGGATAATCTAAATGATTATTTGTTTGTCTGTTAAAAATCTGGCATTTAGACGTTTATCAAGGAAAATCTGTCATCTCCTTGAGTTAATGCACCTATAGAGGAACAGACTAGTCAGTCGAGTGGCACTTTCTTTCCGTTTATTGGACAGGAGAACTGTCTGTGTCACTTAATAATTTGAAGCAAGCGGAATATCGTCGGCATCAAGGCAGATTTACTGAAATCATCACAGTCATCAGTGTAAATAAACTGATAAGATGAACACTTTGTTTTCCTTGACTGAAGGACACTTTGTGTCTTTTCGACCAATCACACGATCGATAGACTATGCCCTATCACATTTAGACAGTATAAAGATAAACATCCATCACAGTAACCGTGTCAAACGAGGTTGTTTTTATCTTCTCGAAAAAACTGTGAATAATCTCCTTAGATGGCAATCTTTTGTAGCTTGGTCTTATTTGCGATGTCTTTCGATGTAGCCTGGTGTTTCGTTCACGTTACAGGTAAGTAGGATTTACTTAGTAGTACATTTGGTATCAACTGACTGCACGTTTTGTTGAAGTACGATGACGATATCTCATGCTGACATATAACTTACCTCAAAATTAGTTCTTCCATTGTGAGCTGTCCCATCGACTTTAGACAGTTTGAGAGGAAATATATTTTAAAAAGGTTTATCAGCGATGAAAGACACGTTTGAAAGCCAAGACTGGAGCTTAGCTTTTTTTATCCCAATCTTGAAGCTGCGATTATTGTTTCTGTGGTGACGTTAAATTGACCCGATTGCCGCGGTTCAAATTGGCGCAATGATTTAGATAAGAAAGATAAACAAGTCTAATAAAAAGTATCAATTCTGCTAAGATTTTACTTGCTAGATGTGTGGGAATTATAAATTCCATAAAGGAAACCAAAAGGACCTCTTAAAGTTAAAATACTTTTAACCAGCAAGACATCATTGTACTTTTACAAGCTTTCACAGCATGTATGTCTTCACATCCAAAAAAATATATATATTTTTTATTTTAACGTAAACAGCGACAGTGAAATTTGCGAGACGGTTGGCTCGTCATTTTTCTGTGCATTAGTAGAATTTATAGAACAATAACAGATCTGTGGCTTTGAAAGAAAACTGGCTGAAAGCCATAGCAAACCTTAAACCTGACACGAGGTTGACAGAGGGGCCGGAATATGGGCCAACCGCAAGTCAATAGTTTCCGCTAACCACTCACGTATTAGGGCAATTTACCGTAGAATCATGAAAAAAACCAATGGATTCGACACGTTCGGTTATAATTTAAGTTGAAGACGCCCATTCAGCACGAAATGTTTGAAGTTTCATATGTTACAGGGCTCGTGTTGAGGATAACTCAGTTCTTACCACTTTCAGTAAATGAACAATATGACACCAAGGCCATTTTAAAACTAATTAGTTTCTGACATGTCAATCGTCGACAAGGCTCTTATTTATGTTATAAATAAGAGCTATATCCGGTACACCTATCTAAATTTAGTCCTATGGGTCCAAAGTTGTAAGAACGCTCTTTTCAGGCGGATGAATTGATTTTAGACGAATCGTGATACCTTTGTGGCTTCAATTTGGATGTCGCAAAAATTTCCTTTATTCTGCATTGGAATTGAGAACAAAGGTACGATGTTCACAATTTGCGAATAGCGTATCATAAAAATAACCTTGTATTTTCTCCTCCCCTATCGTCACTTCCTGTCTTTCCTGGCTGGAGAAGCATCGCGAGATCTGAATTCTCTCCCTTAGGGACAAGTCGTTTTTTTTGTTTTGTTTTTGTTTTTGTTTTTGTTTTTTGTTTTTTGGGGGGGTAGATCACATAGTTTACATGTGGAACGGAAGCGGGTGTCAGTCATTGCCATTAGATTATGAAGGGGGAACAAAAGAAAATAGAATGCCAATGACGGGCAATAATAAGAATATCGCAGAGCCTTTTATCGTTCGTGACATAGAGAAAATCCTCTAATCTCCCCCTCCCTCCACCCCAAAGGCGAAAATAACGACCGGTTCCTTGGAGATGGTAATGCAGGTGCAGTAACGTCTCTAATGTTCCCTTTAATGGCTGACGGTAATAAAAACAGCCAATCAGGGGAAAAATGCACAGCAGCGAGACAATAATACATGTGCACAGTTGGCCGAGAAAATGCGAGCACCCAGGTCGCGCTTGGTTGTAACCAACCTCAGAACTGAAAGAGCTGCATGGAATTATTTGGAAGATCCATTAAAATGTCCCTTTTCATGTCTTTTATCAATACTTCAGCTTCTTCTTCGTGGCCCGCTGGTTCATATGCTCTACCAATGGCAGACTCGGGATGTCCCGAGAGCAGCGGATTCACCTGGTACACAGGACATCGAACTGAGGAGTTAGAAAACGATAGCAACAAAAATGCACGTTCTCCGAGGATTCATTTAAAAGCTGATATAGGAAAACCGGAAATAACACGACGCTTCTGCGTCAAAAACTCCACAGCAACCGATAAAGGAAAGCCTAAGTGGCCGAACGGAAAATTCTGCATTTACAAGGAGGGCGACTTCTGTCCTCAAGGATTTTACGAAGGCCTCGTTCGTTGGGATGACGACAACAAAAAAAACGGATCCAATCGAAACCACAAAGGAGGAAAACTTCCAGCAGGAGTCTACAACCAGGACACTTTGATATATTTCTGTTGTAAGACAACAGGGTTTATTATCAAAAGGATAGCACTGCCAGTCAGTAAGCCTTTTTATCTAATGGCGTTTGGGTCCAAAACTTGTCAAGAAGTCCAGGGTGCTGTGTATTCGCTTGAATATGTGGTCTTTGATACCGAAAATACCAACAATATGGACTCCAGGGTTTACCCTTATCCATATGGAGCTGATCGTAAGGAACCCACGATTCACTACTGTTACTACAGAGGTAAGAAATTAATGAGGCTATCATAAATACCTACGTAATAGGGCACTGATGTAGTATATCGCAACGGTCAATCTCAACAAAGGATGCTACAAGGAGCAAATACGAATTGATCCACCTTCCCCGTTTGGTGGCGCGAAGGCACGCGTTCCCAACGGTCAATCCTCATTGTCTGGGTGAAACGCGCCCAGGCATTTGATTTTCAAGATACATCTCTGAGTCTAAAGCCGAAAAGTACAAGGATACCTCGGTAAAACCATTTACGTACTTGCCTTGTGTTTTTTCCTTGGGTTTTTAATGAAGGAAAGCAGGAAGAGGTGGTATTACTGCGATATATTCGATACTTCTGTTTTTCATTTCACTGAACGATAAATGCAACTTCCTAACTTAACACCTCCCCGCAGAATACATAGAGGTGTAAGGGTAGGTTAGGGTGCTCTTTATTCGACACTTCTGTTTTTCATTTCACCGAACGATAAATGCAACTTCCTAACTTAACACCTCCCCGCAGAATGCATAGAGGTGTAAGGGTAGGTTAGGGTGCTCTTTATTCGATACTTCTATGTATGAATTCACTTAACGAGATATTCAACTTCTTACACTGACTTGACTCTCTACAGAATGCAAGTGGAACTTAAATCAGACGAGCGGAGAATTCTCTTCGCCATATTTTCCAAGCAATTACCACAACTTTCAAGACTGTCAGTGGAACATTACCGCTCCCAGAGATCACGTGATAAGACTACAGTTTGGAGTCCTCAAACTCGAATCCGATCCTTCCTCGTGCGGAAACGACCGCTGCGGCTGCGATTATGTTGATATACAACAAGAGTCAGTGACAGGTCACGTAACAACGCTTGGAAGATTTTGTGCGACGATTTTATCCCTGCCAATCATACAGTCATCGACCAATAAAATGATAGTTACGTTTCATTCAGATCACGCTATAACAGCCAAAGGTTTCAACGCATCCTACACGATAGTCCAGAAATCTACCGGTAGGATATTTTTTAGCTCAATTGCCGTTATATTGTTTTGCTCTTTTGTCTAAAGATTTCTCCACTTTGATAGGTTCTTCGTTATCATGAAAGACAACCAAATGAGGTAAATCTTATTTGACCTGCAGATTATCCTTGAAGGCGAGCTGCAATTGCAACCAAATGATAAAAAAAATTTAAAGAAAAATGTTTTCTGGGAGTTGCTAATCATCAGGCAGGAGTGAAACATGACTGCTACTTTTATATTCATGTTCGATTACTGAATGTTTTTGATTCACTCTAAATAAACCTAAGAATCTTAAAAAAAAAAGAAACCCTCTGTAACTGAAACCGTTGCTTACTTTCCTGTCTAAATAAAGACAGTTCTTAAGAGAAGTGTAAATCTGAAGTAACCTACTAATTCAGAACTTTTTCCCCTCGCGTGTCTTCATTATCTTCTACCGCTCGAGTACCCGGTGTTTCTCTGAGTCCTGGCGGGTTCGTTACCCTCCTACCCCTCATATCAATAAAATCATCTCCTGTTGTATTTTCATTGCTTCATTCAATCTAGAAATAACATCCACAGCTGCAACGGAAACGGCTTCGCCAATGTACAATACTTCACAACCAACTTCCCCGAGTGTAAAAACAATTCAACAGTCAACTTTGGATGCTAAAGAAAGCAATATTACCCCACCAGACGCTACACTTTCAACAATGGAAGTTACTGAAACTGCTCGCGATGAAACCACTGAAAACGTCCAAGCAACACTTAGAGAAAGACAGATATCCACTTCTCAAGTTCCAGCGAGCAATGAGGCAGAATGGAAGTCAACTCAAAGTATCCATGATGTTCAATCATACGGGAATGAAGAGTTGCTCTCTCGTAAAGTCATGGGCGTCCCGCTGAAATACATAATTATTGCGAGTGGCTCTTGTGTTGTATTGTTCTTTTTCAGTTTTCTCCTAGTATGCCAGCTTTGCAAAAGAAGGTGCGTGAATTAGCTCATTCGTTATCATTTGATTAGATACCAAGTGGGTATTAGGAGCGTTTCTGGTACTAACTCTACCAAATTAACCGGAGAAGACGTAGTTCCCCAAAACGATCGCTTTCTTTCATTTTGCTATAGGCGGAAGAAGGATTGAGAGATAATTGTATCAAGAGTGTTGCTAAGGGCGGGGTAGGGAGGGGAAGGGTCTTCAGGTACAAGTGACCTTTTTGTTGTCAAGGCTAAGCGATATATGTTACAAAAACCAGCGTGCGCGCCCCTCACAGCCTGAAGAACGGTCTTTTTATGAAGAACTTCTCTGCGTCTATCCCTGAGAAAGAGGAAAGAGCTGGTGTGGATGCCATTATTCCTGTTGCTGTTCAGTGGTCATTCATTTTATGTCAATCTTCCTCTCACTGATTAAAAGGTTTTATTCACTGATCCGTTTCTTGCCTCTTCTTCTACAGGCATCGTTTACGTAAAAGGCGTAACCATTCCCGTGAAATAGTAAGATACAGCAACGTATGAGAATCAAGCATATCCAGTGCTCCACTATCATCCATCAATATGTACGGAGACAGGTATGAGATGGGGCCAGTTTTATTAACGACTACCACTTCTGCTGTCGAACTTAGATAGTCAAATGCTTGCGTGAAAGTCCATGTTCAGTCACCTTGCGAGCGCAATGGCTCATCTGGACGATGCGTATTCTAGTTTTTGAAGCACGAACTAACTGAGTAAATTGCTCTCCCCCTTTTACCAGTCAGCAGTTCATTTGCGGATTACCACTATATTTTGTCATGTTTTCTGAAAACCGAACAGTTTCCCCAACAATTCCGGTTTCTGAAGTTGAAATGACTGGGAATATTGCTCTTCTCCTTTTACAAGGTATCAGTCAATCGGAAATCGGACGGTTACCTTCTGCATTTTGTAAGGTTTCCCTGAAAGCGTCTCCAACATTCTCGGTGTCTGAAGCATAAAGTGGCGGAGGGTCCTGCTCACCCTCTTGGCAAGATACCAGTACATCGAAAGGTTCTTGCCTGTGCCCGTTAAGTTCGTAAGACGTTTTCTGCATGGTACCCACCTATACCCTTGGGTGGAGAAAGGCGCGGTGAGAGCTAAGTTTCAGTCTCGCCTATAGGAGCACAGTACAGTCTACATACATGAACTCCTTACCAGGGCTCGTCCCTGGACCTTTCGATCGACTTGTCGACACGTTTCTTCCACTAATTGATAAACTAACAATTTTAAGCCCCTGAGCTTTTCTTTTTCCCTTCAGCGGCGAAATGGAAGAACTTTTCTTCGAAGATAAGCAAAGCAATAATCGCACAAATGACAAAAGGTAACTTTCATTTATGTCTGATCTTCGCTTTGTTATAGATTCTGTTATTTGTCTTCTTTGTTACCTGGAGCTAGCACATTTTTTGCGTATTCGCGATTTAAGGTGCAGCCTCAAGTAGCAATTGAGCTTCCTTTCTGTATAGCCAAATTGGTACTGAGAGAGAATTTCTCGGCCTTTCAAAGTAAATGATAAGTTGCTTGTATATAAGGTCATTAGATAAATACGTACTTAATATATTTTAAAGAACTCTAGGGCTATGCGTGCTTGATTACAATAATTATTCGAACCCTTTTTTTAGAGTAAATTCAGAGAAAGCTCATCTGGCGGAAAATCGTTTATACGACGGGTGAGTTGATACGTGGGCTTAATCATAAGTAGAAAAATCCAATTTGCTCTACCTTTAACACTACTTGAATTTTACTCTGATTTCAGTCACCAGCATTCAAGTCACAAGGATCAAAGGGCAGAAAGTCGGCATTATGAACAGTACGTTAAACTTCACTAAATAAACATGCACGTCCAAATTAATCTAATTTTCCAGAACCGCGTGGGCTTTACACGTCTGCAAAGTTGTGCTTGATTGCTATTCGGGTATCGTGTATTACTTTCCCTCCGCAGTCAGAGGGCCACTCTAACAAAATACCTTAGTACTCTTTTTGCCACCAGTTCAGTATCACTAAGAAGTATTTTCTCCCTTCTCCTTCGTAAGATCGGCATAACGCCACACTGCATATCAGTATTCGCAAAGCGAAATATCCAAAAGTTACCCCAAAAGTTACTTTTAACAAGTATTGGTCCATTTGCTCTCTACATATGCAAAATTTTACTTTTTGTTTAGCATTCCCTACTCAATTACATTGGGAAGGAGCTGAACACTTTTTGGGGTCGCAATTAACCTCTTGATAAAAGTTTTGATATGCTGCAAAAGAAATTTCTTTTTTACGTTGTGAATAATTTTAAAAGACCAGAAAAGATAGTAAAATGGGAAAAAGAAATCATGAATTAAGTTTTGAGTTACGTTATGTGGTCTGCGGGAAAAAAGGAAAAAAAATGATATCGGTATTTTTTGTAGGTTGTTATAGAGACGGGCATGAAGAGAACAGCAAGGTTGGCTGAGGACATAAAGGACAATACCTAATATCACATGACAAAGCTGGAAAGCTTGATAATCCTCTCAGATTACAAGAACGTTTACATGTTTAGGCCGATCGAGTTATCTAATATTCCGTGCTGATGGAAACTTTTATTTCTAAATAGATAAACTTGAATCTTTGATTCTCTGATTGTGCATAATTATCATTTTCCATGACGGCGCACTTTTCTTTAAAGTCATTCTTTCAATTAGGGCTGTCGAGACATGTCAATCTAAACAATCATAGCACAAAACCTTTATATCCCGCTGGTTGTTTTTTTTCCTTGGTCTTAAAATTTAAGGAATGATTTACATAGATGTCAAGGGTTATTTTCTTTTGAGACAGGAAAAATTACCCTTAAGAACTTAAAGGAGCTCGAGGCCACAAAATTTATGTCCGTTGTATAAAGATGCGATATTAGACCAAGAGGGACAACGATGATTCGTCCTTTCAGTACGAAGATCTGAAAAGTAACTCTCCAAGCTTATGACTATACAATTATTTATTGGTCAGTCCTGAGAATTTGGCGGTATATCAAGACTGAATCATTTTGTCAATTCCCCTTACATATTTGGTGGACAGTTTGTAAAAATTGTAAGGAGATATTACACGTTGATCATTCCATGGAGAGAAAGGGTTGACGATTACTTAGAATGCTCACTTCGCTATCGTCCAGTATGCCAGATGGTCATGGAAGGATTTAGTGAGACAATAACGCGTTGTCATTCCACAAAATTTGAAAATAATGGAGAAGAGGAAGAAGAACATTGAAAAGAATAAAAGACTTATGTATGTGAATTTTGATCACTCTAGGTGTGCTACGCAGTAACTGTTATTGTTAATTCTTCGTTAAAAAGAAAAAAAAGAAGCCAGCATCTGATGTTTCATTTTAAGCATTTTTTTAAAAGTTATTATTCCGTCTTTGGTGTCAAAATGACTGTGTTTAATGTCATGTACTTGTAATTATTACAAAAATGAATGAAAAAAAAAAAAATAAATCAATTTCGTTTACATACTTCTAAGCCATATCACCGTATTGCGTTTATGCTTTTTAAATAATCAAAACTGTACCCACAACCTCTTGCAATCCGTGTTTATCTGTCCCATCGTGTACCACCCAGGTTCGTTTTAGTACGTTACATCATTCTTTTCAGCGTTTATCAAGACTACCTATTGTTATCAAGTAAGTATCGTGACATTCCTTAGTTGAATGAATCCATCTAGACTGCCGACTATTTACTTTCAACTCCCCCTTTGAATGCACCGTGCATGAGCGAGGAGCTTGCATATCTTGAATGGACGTTAAGAACTCATAAAGCGTAAAAATACGACACTAATACATGCCTACCAGAGTTCAGCTCTAATGTCACTAAGTACTAAACAAACATTTCTCTGAGGCTTTAATTCTTTTTTTACCAAGCAAATTAAAGAACAAAATCGCCAACTGATGATAGACATATTCATCAAATGTTTACGAGTGTTTGACCTGTGTACCTCACGTGACGAGGTGTATTGCTGGCCGGTTAACTTTTCTAGCACTGTTGAATCACCTTAATCATCTTAGATCAGTGCCCTCAGAGGTTACATGCCGCTGAAAAATGACTAACTCAAAGAGAAGTTCTTGGAATGTTGCTGTCTGGCGTAGAGTTCTGGGCATTGCCCTCTTAAGTTTTACGTCGATAGAAGGTACAAGTTTGAGCTTGTTAATTTTCATTTTGTGCAGTACGACGACGCATTAGCAGAATAACAGGCGATGGGATATATGTCTTTCACGATTCATTCGTCGGATAAAAAGACAGTAATATCTCTACTTCGTCGAACAAAATACCTGATATAGTCCACCTTAACATCCGTTAAATTTTAAAACTTCAATTTTTAAAGGTTTCATTGTAACAGTACTGCGCAGGTATCAATTGACCTAAAAATTTCGAGGCTTCATAAAGGCAATAATTTCTTATCCTATCGAACGGTGCATACATTTGGCCTTTCTTTATTTTTTACATTTACATCGTTTAACTGTCTCTGGCAGAAACGGCCTCTGTAACGCGTCGCAACTTGATTGCTAAAATTGCTCCTCGACTGTGGCCAGTTAACCAAAGCTAAGACCAAAAAACGGTTTATCTAAGTTCTGAGTATTCTTGCAATCAGAAAATAGTTGACAGGCTTGCTTTGCTATAGACATAATGCAGTGAAACCTGCACCGTACGAACCCCATGTTGTGACTCAATTCAAGTCCCAGATTTCTCTCCCTATATTTACTGCACAGTCTGTTTCGAGTACACCTGTGTTCAAAGGAAACCTCTTCATGTATCACGAGGACGGAGGAGGACAATAAAACAAAGCAATTTTCTTCAACGAAACCTGTATTTAGCTGTATTACGGGCGATTTGACCCTTTCACTCCCAAGATCTCATTTCTGGTCTCATTCATAATTGTCCTTTTTACAGTTGTGGGCTGGGTGGCCAAGCCTTTGAACAGGAGTGAGGCTAAGGGTGACCCTGTTGTGATAGAGACCTGTATCTAGTTAGCATGATAACAAAGAAATTTGCATTTGAAAAGCAGCAACATCTCTATCATAACAAGGTCACCCTTAGCCTCACTCCTGTTCAAAGGCTTGGCCACCAAGCCCACAACTGTGAAAAGGACTATTCTCCTTACAGTCTGCCATACAATTCTTATGATGTTGGTTCGGAGAATTTGGCATTGAATCAACTTATAATTCCCTAGTTTACTTTATATTTTTCTTAATTCTCATCACTTGCCTGCTTGATATTGTATTGATTATGTAAGGAGAAATTGTGTCTTGGTCACTCATAGGAGTTAAAAGGATTAACCACTGTTGCGCAACTATGAAACCTGACAAGCTCTATTTAGCGGAAGCTGGCAAGCTTAAAACTTGCGAAGGTCTCCTTTAATGCAGGTTTCACTGCGAAATGTCTAGAAGCCACGAAACTACAAGCGATGGTTATAAAATTGATTACTTTACTTATTGCCTCTTTCTGGTTTTGGTTTCTCGTTTTGGCAGAGATGATACAAAATGTTAACAAAAAGCTATGGATATATTTTTGGCCAAGTGTCAGCATAGAACGTATTCAGTTTGCTTATTTGTTTTTTTAGTGTGTATTGTAACATAACCAAAGTAAAGCGCGCGCTCTGATTGGTCAATTCAACGTCSMSYCCACCATTTGCCCATGAGTGTACGCTGCTGACGTAAGCAAATGCAAAGACTAGTTTTCCGCGCGCGCTTGTTTTTTCTGTTCACGTAAGATTTGTTTAATAACAAAAAACTCTTTTGCTACAGTGTATCAATGCTATGTTATAAAACAATCGGTAAACGCCACATTGTACGCTATTGAGTTATGGCTGCACTTGGGAGGTTTACTAAGCAATCAAGTAGCTAGAGTCGCTCTCGGCTATCGTCTCGCGCGACTCTTTCGCTTCTTCCATGCTTAGCAGCCTCCCGCGTGTATCCATAACTCAATAGTATACGTTGTAGTGTTTACCATTTGTTAATTTGTGCGTGTGTGCGTGTGTGTGTGTGCGTGTGTGTGTGCGTGTGTGTGTGTGTGCGTGTGTGTGTGTGCGTGTATGTGTGTGTTTGTTATGTATGTAGGATTACATATAAAAAAAAAGGGGAAAGTGTAACCGGACCAATAATCCATATTTACGTACTTTATTGTTTCGTTTCTCTAACTTTGTTGTTTTTGTTTGTTTGTGTGTTTTCTCATTGTGTAATACACCGTAGACCATAAAATTTTTTAGTTCAACTATTCAACTTTGGTTTTTGGCATTATTAGACTTCTGCTCACATCTACATCGATTTATGATAATATTATTTACGACATATTCGCCAAAAAATTGAAAACATTCAGTTTCAAATACAAAAAAAGACGCTTCTGAAAACTCGATTGCAAATTAAATCTTCAACATTTCTTTTTAATGATGAAGTAAGATTTTTTATTAGAATCTGATTCTAGAGGATCTTTGATCAGCTTGTTTTAGCACTGTTTCTTGTTCTGTTGTTAGGTTGTCAGGATAGCAACATACATTGTTCCTATTGGGCATTACTCGGTGAATGCAAAAAGAATCCAAATTATATGTTGTACAATTGCCGCAAGAGTTGTAACACTTGCAAATGTAGGTATGATTAGCTACTACACACCATGGTAGATACTCTTATATCTAACTTAGAGACAGGCACAGAAAGCGAAATATGTCTTTGGATTTTTTTGAAGTGACAGGAAATCTATTTTCCCTCAATTTAAAGCCTCACGTTCAAGGTGTACACTGGTGAATTTAATTAGAAAGTCTAGACACTGACATGAATAGAACACCCATACATTAAAAAAAAAAAAGACGACAACAAAAAAGCGGCAAAGATTCATGGGTCTGTTATGACGCCATCGTGCATAAGATCTAGTGCCGTACCTCATCTTCACATTACCCGAGGCTCATTACAAAAACATTTCAGTGATATCTTTTTAATTAACATTATAAGAGATGCTAGTAAGGCTTCTATACACTGGACACGTACACAAAACATAATTTATAACATCTTCTTCCTTCTTTCAGCCCTTGGCAATTTCGTCAAATGGCCGTCGGGGAAATACGGTCTACCTATGGCTAAATCTGGTTGTCCTAAGTCCGACGGTTTCTCTTGGAAAACCGGATATATCTATCAAGATTTGGAAGATGACAAAAGCCTTACTGCGAATTCTCCAAGCTTTCACCTTAATGCTTCAGTACTGAGTTTGGGAGATGTTTCTCAAAGCTTCTGCTTTAAGACAAATAGGACCGATTCAGTTGATAACAGTCGATTCAGCTGGCCTTACGGTCAATACTGTATTTATAAAAAAGGCTCTTCGTGTCCAGGGTCCCTAAAAGAAGGAAGGGTTTTGTGGGATGATGAAAACGGGCAAAATGGAATAAATCTGAATTTCAAAACTGGTACTGTCCCTGCTGGAACATACAATGCAGATACTGAAATAAAGTTTTGTTGTCAAGATGTTGGATCGTACAGCGAACCTATCGAGCTGCCTATAGACAAGCCTTTCTATCTGATAGCTTTTAACAGTAAGAACTGCCAAGAAGTTCTCAAAACAACACATACGTTGGAGTATATACTGTATGATACAGAGAATGATCGCAATCATAACCAAGCGGTCTATCCGTATCCTTTTGGCTCAGATGGTGGAGATCCTTACATTTATTACTGCTACTACCAAGGTAAGCAGTGGTTTTTGGGTTATTTTCACTAAAGGCAACCAACACAGACTGTATATAAATTATCAAATGCAAATAAATTGACCTACAATAACGATCATTGTATCGGCGTTGTACAGTAGCATCTACGGCATCGTAACTCGGAATGAAAAGGACCTCGCATAGGGGCATCGGTCCCTCTTCTCATGAGGCCATAACTATGCAGTGAAACTTCCAAGAAAACTTGGTCTAACATTTCAAACGGGGAAGTAGCATTGATAAAACTGGACGTTTTATTTGTGAAAAACGGAATTAATGTGTCTGGTGTGAGTGGCTGTGGGTCAAAGACCGTCTCATAGGTTGGCTCAGTTGATTTCAACGTATTTTCTTTGCAGCGTGTAGATGGACCTTGAAAGCATTGAATGGTTCCTTCTCCAGTCCGAACTATCCATCTCCATATAAGGAAAAGGCCTTATGTGAGTGGCATATTACTGTCCCGTGGAACTACATCATTTCATTGACATTTGTCGACTTTCGTCTGGAAACGAGTGACATGTGTCTCTATCAAAGCTGTGATTGTGACTTTGTGGAGGTACACGACAACTTTCCAAATGGAACGTCCGAACTTACAGGGAAATACTGCATGGGTGTGGCGTATCCACCTAGTGATATCCGATCAAAAACCAACAACGTAACAGTTACATTTAGCTCAGATGGTACTATTCAAGATGTGGGATTCAAGGCTGAATATAGTGCTGTCCAGCTTACAGGTAAGATTTGTGGCTTGATTTTTATTATAATAGCTGTCAGCAGGGCTCTCTCCCAATGGTCGATGTTACGATAATTGTCTGGGCACGTGAATTAGTTTTTTCTTTACAGAATTAAGATTCGATCGTGTATTTATTTGATAAGGACCTTCAGCCTGTGTTGTTTTGGAACTGCCTACTTAGGGACATAACAATTGATTAAGGCCATCAATCACAAACACGTAAACTTTCGTTAATGATGTTTGTCGTTTTTTCTTAACAAAGCACCAACAAGTTTGAGGAGCACAACGGATACCAAGCAGAAGACGACACCAACGGACTACACTTCTGTCGATCCGCCCACGGTTCCGATTACTGGAGCAACTTCCAGAGGCACAACAAATGGAAATGATAAATCTACCACTGCTGGCAATACGGCACCAACTACTAGCCTTGGCAGCAGCAGCAGCAGCAGCAGCAGCAATATTACAACTGGTACAACAACTAGACCAGTAAAGGAATCTTCTACAGAACGAACAACGACACACTCGAATGGCCATCCAACTTCGCAAAAAGCCTCCTCACTTACTATGAATCCAAACGGTACATTTACTCCTCCATTCACAAACGTACCCGCGACAACAATGCTAATCACATCTGAGATGCCACCTAGAACAAGGCCGCGTAAAACCGTCCAAAGTAGTTCAACCTCAGGGGTAACGACTGGAGAACTCTTTCCACCAACCGAACCAAGGAGTAAGGGGGGACCGGATACCTCCTCAAGAGCATCGCGAGGGAATATTTTCATCATTACTGCTTTGATAGCTTCTTTGGTTGTTTTAGCTGTGATCGCAACAGTAGCAATTGTTTGTCTCTGTAGAAAATGGTATGGATAATCGATAAGTGATCCCAAATTAGTCGATAACTGATCGCACCTAAGGCGATAGCTTATCATAAGTCACCACGACTTTCCATTTCAACAAAAGGAGTTGAGCGTAACGATGGGAGTTTAGGCATAATCATCTGGGATTCACGAATGTTTCAGCAAAATTTTTACATACCTAGTTGTAATATCATCACTGAATTCCCACCATTCAATAAACAGAGAAATAAGTGTGGAATTCGTTGAAATATCTGGGGCCACAGTGGGATATCGAACACCAGTTTTTACAGCGTATCAGTTCGAAAACATAAATCAGAGCCAAATGTACACTAAAATGTTCACGAGTGGTTGTATAAAATTGTTAATACTAAGTATTTATCCCTTTCATCGAATTCCAGGCGGTTTAAAAGAGCAGAAAAAGCTCGAAACACATTTACTGTCAGCTTCATAGCAGGCGAGAAGATGGCTGAAGACGATACAAACATGTACAGCAACAGGTCAGCGCAGAATTGACGTTTACAGTTTGTGTATCTTTCAAATTGCAGTCCACCATTCTATTGCAGTTGTTGATAGCAGTTAGTGTAGAAGGTACAGACAGTGTAAGGAATTATCGGCAGTTCAGTTAAAGTGATGGCATCTTTTGCTAGACGAGTATCCTAATAAATGAACGATTCCCTTGAGAATGCAATGTTTCACGCTGAAGTAGTCAAACGATGATACTTCATTGTACAAATGCATTAACCGCGATAGGTGACCACAACCATTTTTTCGGCGTGCCACATTATGGTACCTGTGTAGCCTGTTTAAAGAGTATTCCTTCTAAAGCTAGCGGGGATCATACATACCAGATAAGGAATGGACAAAACATAAGAGAAACAATGTGTAGACCTGTATTTCATATTTGCTGATGTTCGTTTCAGTGGAGAAAATGAAGGCGGAGGAGAACGCTATTCTACAGTAACGCTGACGAAGAAAGAACAATTTAACATTTTATACGATAGCAGGTACGACTATCATTCGAATGCAAAAATAATTTAAGATGCGAAAAGCTAACTCGAGAATATATAGCGAGTCCTTCAAATGGTGAGGTTGTTCTTATTTACTCATTCAAAACAGGGCTTTCATGGATTCCTATGACCAGTTTGAGGATGATGACGAGATCAAAGAGAGTGAAAATCCACTCTATTGCAGCAGGTCAGATAAGCAGTGAAACTGTCCTTGATCACAAAACATTTGCTAAAGATCTTTGGTAACATCTTAGATAGTGTTATTGGAAGAAATAGATTATTTTTGCCATGTATCAGTACAGTTTCATTTGTCAAAGATGATCGACGTCTTAGTGTGGTTTGAACAAAGAGGCTAGGCCATTGCATAAAATAGGCTCGAGGTGAATCTTGCCACAGGCACTCGTAAATGTGACAGAACCTCCATGTAATCCTCCAAAGTAATCTTGAAGGATGAAGGGGACATCCAACATACGTAAAACTTGAACTGTTAAATCGATGATAATCACCTAATATAAAAAACACTTTTTTGCCGTGCCTTTTTTCTTTAACAAAAGATGAAGCCCAAATGGGGGAAGAGGAATGTAATATGAGCGCTCGGCCATCATAATCGTGGCATGAGTTCCATTCCTGGGCAGAGCATTACAAGTGGGTAACGTTTTCTTTGCATCTCGCCCTTAATTCACGGCTTTCCTCCAGGTTTACCGCTTTTATTCCCTCCACAAAAGTCAACTCTCTAAATTCCAAGGAAAAAGTGAGAAAAAAGGATCTATTTTTGTAAATGCGCGCTGCTAAATGCGACTTAGATTTTAATGCTCCATCTAAATTGTAGTACACTGATAGTCAAGCAAGGGTATCACTAAACACTTACACTGTGATCTGCTAGTGACAAAATAAAGCGATACTAAAGTTTTAAATTTTCGTTTTATTTTCAGTATCGAAACAGGACAAGACGAAAATGAGAACATTCTGTATGAAAGGTAAATACTTTAAGCAGTGATCATAGCTGTTCAGTTCTTCTGGCGAGTTTTAAGCGTAACATGAACTTAATATATTTCTTAAATTATTCTCTCTCGTTCCAGCATGGATAATGTTATACAGAGTGTAGAGGAGGCTGAAAGCATCAATCCTATGTACGAAGGGTTAGTGTTGCTTTGTCAGTTCTTGACGTAGTTTGGGCTTTGCTGCCATGATTGGGGATGGAAGTTACGTTATAACAGAATACCTTAATGCATCCATCCTTCTTGAGTCTCAGTTATTCACATAAAATCGATAGTATAAATTTTTTCTTCTCGACATCGAGAACAAATTTAACTTTACTTTTTCTAGGCTGGGTTTCAAGGTCGGGCTTTATACAAGAGTTTATATGATCTCTTGCTCTATAAAAACCTTGTGCAGCGATTCCACCATGATAACTTATCATTTATCTCATCAGTTAAAAAAAGAGACTATAAGATATTGGACCAAGATTGAAACAGAAAGCCATTCATAAATTTCGGTGTTTGATATTATTTCAATAAAGTACTTTTTGATGTTTTTTAAGTTATACAATCTGAGCACAATTGAATGGAAGGGGAAAGTAATTTGTAACATTATTTTACCGCCCTTTTTTCCTCTCAATTTTCAGTATGGTCTAGGATGTGTGACTGCTGTGAACTGAGAGCAAGACTTTTCTCTGACTTCGTTGCTATACGGTCGATTTCAAATTTTCGGCTTCCTGCAAGATTACGTGGAACAGATTGATCTCAAATTTGCCAGTGGAATACGGTCATCATTGGTGTTGTCAGACATGCAACAATTTCTTAACAATCATACCTGTTTAAATAATGTACATTTTGATAAAAAATTTGGTCGTCGGAAACGCCTAACTTACAGACAAAGAATCTGATCCTCAATGGAACTCATTGAAGCTCGTGAACTGGATCTCCTGGCAATTATACCCAGTATACCCCGGCCAAAATTTCAGTTAACCAATGCTAATAGTTGAATGCAATTACCAAGTGCGTCACGTAGCCAAATGTTTAAAGCAGGGAAAACTCTAACCAATTTTTTGTTCTCTCGCAAAGAAATCTGTTCACAAATAGGTTATAATTCAGAATTTTAAGTTTATTTAAGATAACATTAAGGGATCTTAGGTCCACGTTTGGTGTGTAAACCGCAAACGTCAAACCGTGGTTAGCAGTTTGAGGTTAGAAGTTAGAAGTTTGGAGACTTTCAGGTTTTTAGAATGACGTTGGCTTTCACCTGAGAAAAATCCACATCTGCACTGCCATTCCACAAAGGATGGAGGAGGTCCTTTACTTCAAACACAAAATGAGGCTAAAAGTTTGGTTTTCTAACATCCCAAATGGATTGGTTAAACAGAAAACACTTCATGTAACACACATTTCCAGGACGTGCGTGAGAACTTTCGAACAGGAAGAAGAAAAGAGCAAAGGGAGTTGACCTACCTGAAACTGTCTTGCCCAATCCGAAGTTCGAGCATAACCGCTGGATTCTGGCCTCGTGACTCCTTGCGGTTTGCGGTCACACGTATTCAGAAACAAATGTGGATCTAAACCTCTCCAATAAAGGAATTGACCCCTCTATGGCAGGCCGTTTGTAGCAATATTCAATAGTTCTTTCATTCAACTATTCAACTGCAAATCAACCGTTCAATTCAACCCCAATTCAATCATTCAACACCCCCATTCAACGATTCAAAAATCTATTCATCTATTCAACTATTCAACCCCAATTCAACTATTCAATCCCGCATTCAACCATTCAACCCCTTTTCAACTATTCAATCCCGCATTCAACCATTCAATCCCGCATTCAACCATTCAATTCCGCATTCAGGCCCGATAGTTGCAGGACTGAGTAACCTGGCACAATTACACGAAAGACGTCCTAAGACGTCTGTTATGTTAACTTGGAAATATTGTACACAGTAAATATTCCTTCGATTGATATTCATATATATCTTATTAACCAAGTGCTAGGGCCGTACTGGGAGAATATCGGCCCGAGGTCTTGACAGAACGGACCGAGCGCACGAGGTCTGTACAAAAAAGATCGAAGGCCGATATTCTTCCAGTACGATCCCGAGCAAGCTTGGTTAATGAGAGATTTATTATACTACTGAAGTTCAAAGGGACACAAGAGCGTTATCATTCGGAACCATTCGGGACCGTGCCCGTTCCAATACTGAGAGAATATTGACCGGCAATAGAGCATTTTGATTTGTTGATTTTAATTATTGGCTCTCTGACTGTCCGAGCCGTGTAATAAAGTAATGTAACGTATTTCTTCAGACAGGTTCAATAAAAGAATCAAATCAAAATTGAATTAAAGCGACCGAAAATTTTTTTTGGCTAGAGATACACACTAAGATGGGCTGCCTGTGGTTTCCCAAAGTTCTTTGTAGAAGTTCCGCAAGTGTTTCAGAAGATATGTTGTATGATGGCCTCCTGGGTGAAAAAATATTTGCTTGTCTGTTTGAGCTCAAGTTAGCGACAGTTGTTGTGGTAATGGAAGCTAGGGACAATAGATGGTTCCAGCCTTGTAAAATATCATAAGCGGGCGTAATTTTTTGCTACTGTGTTTTCTCGTTATCTTCAAACTGGAAACAATCTTCCAGCTTTCTTAACAAGGAGATTGTTTTGTCGAGTGTTACGGCTTGCTTTTCCGATGGTTCCACCTCGAAAGGAATCGTACATAACTGAGTCATCTTGTTTAGGATGTGGTTTAAAAAACTAGGTATTTCTGTTTGCTCAAATTGCTGTGCATCTGCCGCCATCTTGCTTTCTATGATAACTTAGGTTTCCGGCTCCAGCTCGGCCGTCTTTCGTGCCAGGTTCCTCAGTGCGCCAGTTGAGTGAATGGTTGAATGCTGGGTTGAATGCTGGGTCGAATGCTGGATTGAATGGTTGAAAGCGCGATTGAATGATTAAATTGGGATTTAATAATTGAATGGGGTTGAATAGTTGAATTGGGGTTGAATAGTTGAATTGGGGTTGAATAGTTATAGATTCTTGCAATTATTTAATTGGGATTAAATAATCGAATGAGGTTGAATAGTTGAATTGGGGTTGAATGGTTGAATGAAAGAAATTTGGAATATTGCTACAAACGGCCTGCCATACCTCTCCGTCGTTAGCTGCAGAATAACAGTTGATCACCCCTGAAAATGGCCTCTTGTAAAGAAAATTAAAAGACTTGCAATAAACGCCTTGTTTCCGTTGAAATGGCGGCGGGAATGGAAGTTTATGAAAAATCAGGGAACGGATTATAATTTGTCTGGTGAAGAAGAGAGGTAGAAACGCCAACGTTTTGCTTCAATGCACTTCTGGATTATTCTGAAAGATTTTGAACTTATAGTAATCGCTTAAGTCTTGACTGCAATATATAAGGGATTAATGTCTTCATGCATAACGGTAGGCGGACCAGCTTATGAAAGTGTTGCCACGAAAACATGTAGAAATACATGGCAATAATGAATAAAGCACTAAAAGAGAGAAAGGATTCTTCGTCTGAAAACTTCAAGAAAGGATGAATTTTCCATATTCAAATGAATTAAAGCGGACAAAATTGGACACATTTCCGCCATTTAACACAATGCGGAACTTTTCAAAAGATTACAATAATTTTCTTTAACGTGTGAAAAGACTACCTAAAAGAAATATCATAAAAATTGACTAAAGGAAATGGAAAGAAAGGAAACGTAAGTCGCGAGGAAAATGGAGAAAATTCTGTCTCTCTTCAAATAATATATCTTTCACCAAGTCGGAAGGACTGGTAAGCAATTGATCGAAACTTGAGCCGTTTTATAAAACGAAAGAAGATCAGCAGGTCAGGAACATAAGAACGTGATCGCGTGTGAACCTCGTGTCCTCCTTGCTTTGTTTACTTATCGACAAGGTCACGCATTTTCGAGGGTTAGCTCTAGCGGATAAAATTGCATTTACATTCAAGCCTGGGTAAATAGTTTGTACAAGACGAAGAACCGATGAAAAAAGCAAAACATGATTGGCACTTTATTGATTTCACGACTTTTACCCGTTCTTCGCAGAACGATAAGATTTCTGTGCCTCAGCTGTCTTGCTTCAGAAGGTACGTGCTAATACTTGTTTTTTTTTTCACGTTGAACCTGAACGGGGTAACAGCATTTATGTGCTTTTGTATCTAGGGTGGGAACTGTGGATACAAATTGAACAAATCTATCAAGAGCGAATAGTTTGACACGGTAAACTTTGAAAGGCACGGGAACTTCAACGAGCCACAGTAAAATAATTTTGAGGACCGTTTGAGACCATTGGTTGAAATTGAAGGAGGCTTGTAGGTAGATGTTTCGACCGATAACATTAAAGTAGTAAAAATCTATGAATCACTTCTCCCGAGTCTTAGATTTCATTATTATAGAGGCAGAGCCACCCTGAATCGTAAAATTCGACGATAGGAATTCAAAACTAAAAAGAATGCGACCTTCCTCATAAGATGATTATTTTCTTCCTTTACAAACGATATTTGGTTAGTTAAAGCCAGCGGGTAGGCGCTGTACTTATTATGCATATTCAGGCGGTGTGCGCACTCTGATTCCGTTGCATCATGGTCGTAAAATAGAAATTGAGTCATTTGCATCTTGACGCGTTGGAGCTAACTTCTTTGGTGGCAGCGAGATAGTGTGTATTTACGTGGATTGTAATGGAGATTAACTGTCTGTAGCCGTCCCTTCGAAAGTTAAAAACTTTAACGGGCCTGCGCGACTCCTGTCATTCCTCCGTGATGAATTCGTTCGTAGGAAGCAACTGACGTTATTAAGAAAGATTCGAAACTACAATCTGCCTAAGAATCTTGACACAAATGGCAACTGTTACACTCACAACCGATGACGGGATGAATAATTTCAAAGTCAGAAATTATATTCCTAGACGCGAGTTATTTAACAGGGAATTGACCCCAGAAATGTAAACGAACATTAATAAGACAGAGACCTTGTAATACACGAACTCTTTCCACCAAGTGTACATACGGGATTTGTAAAAGGATCGAGAAGCCCCACGCCTCCTAAGAACGAATTTGTCTCGCTCCACGTTTAGTAAAAACGTACAGAGTTTCAAAATACCCTTCGAGAATAGAGAAAACCTAGATGAGGGTTTTCAGAAACGTATCTCTAAAGTTATTTCTGCAGGAGAGAAGCATACTTAAAAAAAAAGAAAATAGCGCGCACACAGAAGAAAATATTGCCTTTTGTATATCATCCGGCTTGAACCTCAAGAACATACAGATGGGGAAATGACACCTCAAAAATGACTCTTATTATCACATCGCAAAGGAAAGTCATTAAGAGATATCCTAATAAGAGCTAAACTTTGAGGGTAAAAGATTTAAAAGCGCTAACGAATGGTAGGAGGCGCATAGACCTATCAAAACCTTTCAAAGGTTGACTGCCTTTTGCTTTAATAATAATAATAATAATATAGATCGATTTCTATAGCGCATTTCCATGTAAATGCTCTAATGCGCTTTACAACACTGTGCGGGGGGACTTTTCCAGACTGCCGGCGGCAGTTTACAATTAATAAAGAAGAAATTTTACGGATTCCCCCTCCCCCCCTTCCCAGTAAACAGGCCAGACCACATCACAGTAATCTCGTTATGTGGGTTCTTTTGCTTTCCGGCTTTTCAGCGTGTCGCCTCACGCAAGGTAGAGGTATTCATGGGTCAAGTGACTCTTTTCATTGCTCTAATTAAACTGTCCTTCATTCAATGATCAAGATAGAAGATTTACCACAAAACACTCGCGATTAGTAAAAATTTCTTCCCTTAGGAAAGTAGATTTACCACACGATTGAGTACATAAAATAAATGTCCTTGCCGTAATAAAGCTATGTAACGCAACACACTAAACGCAGCAATGGGCCTTTCCGTTCCATAAAAGGGTCTCAAACACTATCACTTAAAATGCATAAAGCATTTGTACCGTTGGAGCGCGTTTGAGTGCGTTTAATCAGAGCTGTTGAAGAAGGATCAAATTGACCATACAAATCTTTGAGAGGCTTCAAACTACGACGTAGGACGGATTTGACCTTCTCGTTAAACCGGTCTCAAATTACATGCTAAAAAAACAGTGCTTGCGTTTGTCCTTGAGAACGATAGAGTACGCGACGAATACGTGCGAAAAATACTTCTACAGATTCAGAATATATCAAATTATATTTGCCTATAGTGAAAGGAAAAAGAAACGGCCTAACTTTTACGGAATGTTCAATCAAAATCTGTCTATTTCTGCCGCTCCTAACGCCATATTGAAAATAACGCCACCACAATGCAATGCAATAAGAGTGCACACACCGCCTGATGCATATTGCAGCCACGTAATTACTCAATGTCTGTCACGCAAGAATGACTTCGTCAAACTACACTCCGTCTTAATGCTATTGAATTCAGTTGTATCGTATTGAACAGGACGACGCGTTTGTCGTAAAGAGCGACATTTTCGCATTCGTTGAGCTCCTCTACTGTCGAGCAAAATGTTCCGAATTATTTAGACCTTTGCAATTAATTTAAGTATCCTTTACCATAGTTTGCTACAATTTCTTTCGCACGAGACACTGAAAACTAATCGTAAGGGTTTTCAACTATCTATCAACTCAAATCGAGTCGACTCGAAATGTAAGTTCGAACGGGATAAGTTGAATAGGAATCGACTCGAAATGTTGCCTCTGAAATAAACCGGAATATACACGGCCGATAATATGATAAACCACTATCTTAATTCTCCATAGTTTGCGGTGCTACCTTGTGGCCTTCAGGAAGGTATGGATTACCTATGCCTAAAAGTGATTGTCCAGGGGCAAATGGATTTCATTGGCAAACAGGATACATCTACCAGGATCTTAAAGACGTTGGAACCGTTACTACTGTCTCGCTGAACTCACAGCTCAAAGGCCGGGTCTCGGCGGGTGATGTCGAACAGTATTTCTGTATAAAGAACGACACAACAGCAATACTCGAAACAAAACGACCCCAATGGCCTCCAGGGGAGTACTGTATCTATCAGAAAGGCTCCAAATGTCCCAGTGGACTGCTGAGTGGGTGGATAATGTGGAATGGCGAAGATGGTACCAACGGAAAAAACAAAAATGCTCAGCACGGTGTTCTTCCAGAAGGAGTATTTAATCAAGACACAAAGATATACTTTTGCTGTAAGAGCACCAAAGACGGATATAAAGAGCCAATCGAGCTTCCTTTTGCGTCTCCCTTTTACCTGATGGCGTTTACACGATATTGCCAAGACGTTCTGTACACCATACACAAGAACGAATACATTACATATGACAAAGAAGATTTTGTTAATCAAGACGGGAAATCATTCCCATATCCGTATGGAGCGGACCTCTACCCACCTAAAATATATTACTGTTATTATAGAGGTACCAGGCTCTCTTATCATCAAGTTCTGGGCCGGGTTGTTCACAGGTGGATTGAGATAACCCAGAGTTAGTGTAAAAATTGATTCAGATCTGAAAGCTCCGAAAGAAATTTTAGTTTAATTTCATTTGTCTACAGTTTGACGATTGAATGCTCTAGAAAGAATTGGGAAAATTTCCCAAAACGGCTTTTGAACAGAGAAACTTAGAAACCGGGATTAAAATTTAACCCTGGGTTAGCGCTGATCGGCCTTTGAACAACTGGGCCCTGGTCATGGTTTGTAGCAAGTAGCCATGATAAAACCGTGTGATGGACTGAAACGCTCACGCCGAATGAAATGAGTTGAGAAATGAAGCCCCTTATTACGTTTGCCACACTTAGAAGTCAACTGCGACAGGTTTACGAATTTCTGCAAATTTTATCATGCTTTAATTTTATTAAAAGGAAACAAAATTAGAGAAAGAAGGATAGGCCTCCTTCCTATCTGTTCTAAGCTCTCTGATTGGATTGATTTTGAAGGCCAACCACTCAGTTTTCATCCTAGAATACCACTAAAATTTCATCATCTAAATTAGTCCTGGATGTTCACTCTTCACATGTGTTACCCAATCAGTTTTCGACCTCCTCACCTAGTTTCCCGCCTCATAAGCCAGCCTGTGACGATCGACAGAAAAACCTCTTCTTTTAGCCCGGACTAATGGATCAAGTGAAGGCCGTCATCTACAAGAAATCCTCGTAAGAACAATTAAAGGCAATTGTCTCGAAAACGACCCCTCCAAACCCGAACCCTACTTAGCAAGGTAAAGTTTGATGGATGTGGTCCATCATTTCAAGTATAACTTCATTTTTAAAGAGAGAAGAAGGCTTATTATGTAGATGTTATAAAGCTAACTTTGGGGACTCAATGCAATATTTCCACCCTTCAACTCAGTAGAATTCACTTAGCGACAGGAAGAACTATTTGACAACGTTTATAAATTTTTTCCTTTTTTTCTTTCTTATTTTTCCTTACACTTCAACAGAGTGCGCATGGACGATGACAGCACTGAATGGCACATTCTGGAGTCCATACTATCCACAGAACTATAACAACAAGGCCTGGTGCAAGTGGCATATTAAAGTCCCTTGGAATTACGCTGTTCTGATCACTTTTGAAGACGTCAGTTTAACGCAGAATGGCTGCAACGACGACTTTGTCAACGTGCAGGAAACATTTACTAACGGCACACAAGTTTTGATTGGTTCAATCTGCGAAACGTCCACACCACAGATAAGATCTAGTGGTAATAATGTTACGGTTGTTTTTCGCTCAGATGCTACTGTGACAGACAAAGGATTTCAGGCCAGGTACCAAGCAATAAGGATAAGAGGTGAGCCTAAAAGTTAAGACGTCTGATTACTTTCATAGTTACGTTTCGTCATTCTCGAAAAGTTGATGTCTCTGTATACTTATTTTTCAAGAGTTTTTGCCTTTCGGTAAAGCGATCGGAGATAGTATTACGACAGGAAAAATTACACCAGTATTTACATGTAATTGAAGATTTTGATATGATTTCTAGTACTAAAATAAAAAAGAAAGAAACATCAGCGAAAATTTAACTAACCTATCGAAGGTTCAGACTCAGTTTTCTCCACTGCAATTTGTACTTTTCTCACGAGCCTTAACTTTCTTGAAGTTAATTTTGAAAATGAACCTCTAAGCTTTTCAAAATAAAATGGGTAGGGACGAGGTAAAATGAGTGATTCTGTCCACACGAACAGCTCTATATATTAGCGAGCTACTCAGTAAAGTACAGCTCGCCAATTTGACCGATTTATGAACACATAGTCACTGTCATAATGATCATTAATCCTGAGGAGCACGGCTGTAAATGTAACTTACATTCTGACTAGAATGTTACAATCTGATTGGCTAAGGTACTCGCTATCTATTGCGTGATGACACCTGATTTGTTTCGTTTTGAATGAATAGAAAATTTTTACTAAAAAAATAGTACTATTCACTGTCGATTTTATGCGGAATAATTGATTCCCGGTGGGCTTTTCCCACATAACCACTAAATCTCATAATCAAGTACACTGTAGTTTAATTCCATCAAATGACAGTAAGAGGCTGGGATAGGAACTCTCGTACGGAATATTCTGCCTGTGCCTCCAACTGATGGTATTTTTTCCAAACACAGCAGCCAAAACGACAACTTGTACAACCCTAGCCTCAACTCAGACAAGCAGTGTCAATGATAAAGCATCCACAACGTCATTAAGCGCAGAAACCACTCAAGAGATGTCTTCTACCAGAGTGAGCAAATTCAGCTCTCGAGAAAAAACAGATCACATCTCAGCCATCGGAACTGAGGACATCTCTAAGACGAAAGGAGAAGGTTTTTCCGATACATTGGACAATGAAAGCGAGTCTGCAGCAAACACCTCCCTCATCGCTGCATTAAGTGCATCTTTGGTAGTAATTTGTGTGATGGTCGCAGTAGCTTTGTTTTGTTTTCACAAAAAGCGGTAAGTTCAACCCTTTGTTATCGATATTACATCCTTAAAATGCCACATGGTTTTCCTATTTTAAGATATGAAGTGCCATTTTAGAAGTTTGCTACCTTCGCAAGGGTACATAGCAAGGAGGAATCCCTCGTAAGTTGCTTTTATGATCTTATTAATTTTAAAACCCAACTCCATCGATTATGAATAGCAACTTTAGAGTAAGCAAGATCTTTGGAAAATCTAAAAAAAAATTTGTACATAATTAGTGAAGCAAAACGTTTTCTTTCATATAGTTATAGTTAGCCGGTTTTTCGCGACATCAATAATGGCCAGGTGCATGGAATTGCAATCTTTTTTGGATACTTTAAATATATTGCAGGAGTAGCAGGAAAAATGAAAATTGGAAAGCACCTACGGTGAGCTTTCGACCATACGAGAAAGCAGCCGACATTTACAGGTATGTGTCACAAATGGTAAGACCTATGAAACTTCTTCCTCAGGGTTAAAATTTGACCTTTCTCACTGATGGTCGTTTCGCTTTACTTCACTTCTTCCATCTGTACTAATTCCTCAAACTGGTGAGCCCAATGCGCGGCTGAGGTTGGGCGACAAGGCTTATAGCATATGTGTGAATGCGAGGAATATAATCAAACACGTTTGTTTTTTCGCTTTCAGTTCTGACAATGATGATGAAAGAAATGATAATCGTTACGCATATGTCGACCCGCGAGGGATGTATAATAACAGGTTAAACTAGTTTGCCAATTTTACTCATTTAATCCAAACCATCACACTTCCACCAAATGTGATTCCGAATTGTATTCTTTCAGCGATGAAACAGTAAAGGAAAGTGAGAACGTACTGTACGAAAGGTGAGCTTATACTGCACAGGAGTCATCTCTCCCCGAAGCTTAGTACGTTCATCAATTGTAACTTACTTTAGCAATAAACCAAGACTGTCTGTGAATCTTAATGATCGTTACGTATGGCACACGAATGTTTAGCAACATTTCAAGCTCCAAAAAGGGGTGATCAATTCAAATTAAGCTACAGTCTTACCAAACATGATCAAGACACTCTCCGAAAAAAAAACAAGGAGAAAGTCAGTCCTTTAAACTCACTGATGTACACAATACATAGATCATGAATATTCGCGATTTAAAAGTAAATAAACTTCTCCCCACACCCTAAACAATGTTGACAACGATAAAAGTGATCAAAGAGGTAAAAGTTAATATCAAAAGGGGAAGGTTGAAAGAACCCCGTTACAGAAAGAACACGACATTTGGGTGCTTTCACAGAAGTGTCACAGGAAATCTTTTCCAAGGAGCTAGAAAAGTTATATGAATCTATCTTTAAAGTAATCGAATTGAAGCGTTCTCATAAACTAAAAGCACTAGGAAATATTTTGGTCTCTTGGAAATAACGTGCATTCTACTGCGAGGAAGTAATTCTCATCCTCCCTCTGAACCTTAGATGAGCATCAGGTCAAACTATTAATTGATCATGATTCTTTAAGATTAAGAGCGAATTTAGAGAAGTATGCCTATTTCTATTTAGGTTTGCATTTAACTTCAAATCTGAAATTATCGTCTCAATTAATCATTTCTTCTTAATTTGCCTCGTCTTATTTCAACAGTGATAGCATGACTACCTCCGCAAGAAATACCACCAAAGAAAGTGAAAATCCTCTCTACACAGGCGGGTAAGCCAATAAGCTTTCATTCTGTTCATTCTTTGCAAGACAAGATGGTTGTTTTTTTAGTTGGCAGCAATTTATAACTGTTTCTTTCTTCTTCTTTCAGCACTGTTTGTGGGAAGACATTTGATGCGGGCATGTACGAAAGGTAGAGTAACCACTACTCGACCAATCCTAGCGTATGTCGTTACTGAGAAACACTCATGTATGACTAGTAAGAGGCTTGCTCTGAAAGAGGAGTTTACTAGAGAAAGGATATTCCCGATTTTCTCAGCTAAATTAAAAGTAAAATACACGTTCATCAAAAGTGAACTACGCATCAAAAAGCAAAACTACCAAATAACTTATAAAATCTAACGTTCAAAAGTTAAATAACATTACTTAAAGAGGATATTTCCAAACTAAATTCGTTTTCTTTCCAGAAGTCTTTCATTGAATAAACCATAAGTAGATTCAAAAGCCATGGTTCCTACCGACTGCCCCCCCTCTCAACAGACCTTACGACTGCCCCCCCTCTCAACAGACCTCACGACTGCCCCCCCCTCTCAACAGACGTCACTCTCCACCTCTTCAAAGGTTTTTTTTTTTTCACTTTAAAATCTGTTCCCTGACATTTTTTAAGTGTGGATCAGCGTGACCTAAATCAAGATGAAGGCATCTACAGTTCACTATACGAGAGGTATTTATGATAGATTTATGTTTAGTGCTTGCCAATATTCCATCCCATCCCATCCCACCCTACGTCTTCTGGTAAACCACCGACCAATCTTACAATGATTGTCCCCTTTATGAACGTCAGTCATATGGTGTGTTGCCTTAAGTATGCAAATTATCAAAATAATTTAAAATTTTGGAATTTATGAGGTTCGAAGTTAGTTTGCAAAATACCTGGTTTGTTATAAAGACCGCGATTGTAAGGATCTATATATAAACTGTACTTCGGATTACTGAACGCCAAAAAAAAATCCCTGCCATTTGGCCAAAACCGCAGTACGTCAATCTGGGATTTTTTAGCCAGTGCATGAACTACACAAGGAGAATATCAAATAAGATTAAAACATCATTCAATTATTATTATTATTTTTTTTTTTTTGCATTTTAGGGTGCCGTGAGCTTGGAAAAGTTTCAAGGAGACCCAAGGAGTGACACCCCTTAATGCTACTTCTCCTTATGTTAATCTCTTCTATCAGAGACAAGAAGACTTTCAGTACAACTGCTAATTGTTCATAAATTAAAAAAAAAAAAACAATTAGCTTCATAGAAACTATTTTCAGCACCTCAACAAATAAGAGCACGTGTCATTATATACTCTCATTTGCAGCCGTCATTTGGTCGTGCCTTGCAACGCCTTTTTTCCTGCTTTGCGAGAAGAGATCAACCAATAGCTGTTAGGGAGACTGATCATCTTTTTGATCTCGCTCGACTCTCTGATTGGATGTCCAGTCTCAGTAAACGTCCTGACGTAGTATCCGAGCTGTTTGCGTAAAGGAAAGGGAAATAAACAATTCAGATTGCTGTTACAACTGTTCTAACGATAATTTTAATTAACTCTTCTGACTGAAACCTATCCCACGAATTTACATCTTAGTATGCAACGGAGAATTTTTGCGCTCTTCTACAGTCAAACTAAGTGAACCGTACCCCTTAAGATTACATTAATGAATTGATCATTTGGATATTGAACCCGCCAGCCGTTTCACGAATGCAATAATGGATTGATTATTTGAATATTGAACCCGATAGCCGTATCCGTTTTGAAAAGGCGCGGATCATTGTTCAAATTAGAAGTCCATTTCTGAAGTCCAATAAGATTGTTCTATTTGACGAGGAATCCTGAAAATGAACAAACTGCACTGTAAAAACACTGCGAAAACAGTCGATCGCAAATATTAACGAAATAAAAAAAGTCTTGCGATGGCTTCGCCCGTAAACTATTCTTTTCGACCATTAATACACGCAAGAATTTCTACAAGCTCGTCAAGATGTAAATAGGCGAAAAAAGCTCTCGATAACATTCCATTCACAACATTTCTAAGAAGTTCTACACAACACTCGAACTCAACTTTCCCGCCATGTCTGACGCCATGTTGAAATAGTTCCGATCCATCATCACGTGTTCGCTTAATCCAATCAGAAATGGACTTCTGATTTGAACAATGATCCGCGCCTTTTCAAAACGAACACGGTTATCGGGTTCAATATTCAAATAATCAATCCATTATCGCATTCTTGAAACGGTTAGTGGGTTCTATGTTCAAATATTCAATTCGTTATTGCGCTCCTGAAACGATTAGCGGGTTCAATATTCAAATAATCGAATCATTAATGTAATCCTGTGGGTACGCTTCACTTAGTTTGACTGTAAGTTGTTTCTATTCTGTATTCATAATAAGATGGGTTCATAGACTGCAAGATTAATATCGAAATTAACAACGTCATCCTCTCCCCCTCCACCTCTTTCAACCAAAATTAACCGAAAAGTTTTGCTAACAGCTGACAGTTTAAGCGAGAAACAGCAGTTGTAATAAGCAGCCTTCTTTAGTACCTCAAGCCACACATTTGGAGTCGGTGCATTTTGGCTTGATGTAAAACTGTTATTTACAGTGAAAGAAGGAGAAAAAACTACGCAAGCGGTTACCTTTTGACAATGTCAGCACCGATAATATCATAGACATGGTATCTTATTCCAAGCTTAGAATGTGTATCAAATTTACGGCTGAGAAGATCCTGTTTAAGACCAAAAGCAAAACACAGTGTACCCAAGGACATATGCATGTATGCTTCAACTATACATCATTTCGGACTTTCTCAAGTCTACAGGGTGAGTTCATGACAAAGGAAATCCAAGGCCCATGCTTAATTGCCCTCATCAAGCTATAATGATAAATAGTAATATCATTTTTGATAAACCAACCCAACCATTTATGTAACCAATAGTTCTTTGAATTAGCACAATAGTTTGGAAAAACAAATTTACCAGTGCACAATAAAATTTGATGTCATCATATGATCTCAAAAATTCATCGAAAATAATAGTCATGTCTTTATCATTTTGCAATGCGCTTCCTCCCTTTACTATATTTATGCAATGGGAGCGCTCAGCCATCACAATTGTGGCACAAGTTCGATTCCTGGGCAGAGCATTACAAGTGGGTAACGTTTCCGTTGAATCTCGCCGTTAAACCGCACGGTTTTCCTGCAGGTTCGAGTTTACCGCTTTTCTGCTCTCCACTAAAGTCAATTCTCTAAATTCTAAGGAAAAAATCAGAAAAAAGAGCTACTTTTGTAAATGCACACTGCTAAATCCGACTGATTTTAATGCTACATCTAAATTATAGTACACTGAGAGTCAAGAAAGAGTATCACATAACACATACTCCGTGATCTACCAGTGATAAAATAGAGCGATACTGACGTTTTCAATTTCCATTTTATTTTCAGTATCGAAACAGGACAAGACGAAAATGAAGACATTCTGTGTGAAAGGTAAATACTTTTAGCAGTGATCTTAGCTGTTCAGTTCTTCTGGCTAGTATTGAGCGTAGTATGAGCTTATATTTGTTGAATTATTATCTCTCGTCTCAGCATGGATGATGTTATACAGAGTGTAGAAGAGGCAGGAAGCATCAATCCGGTGTATGAAGGGTTAGTGTTGCTTGGTCAGTTCTAAACGTAGCTTGGGCTTTGCTACCATGATTGGGGATGGAAGTTGCGTCTTAGGAGAATACCTGAATGCATCCATCCTTATAGAGTCTCAGTTATTCACATAACATCGATATGTTGAATTTTTTCTTCTTGACATCGAGAAAAAATTCAACTTTACTTTTTCCAGGCTGGGCTTCAACGTCGAGCTTTATAAAAGAGATTATATGATCTTTTGCTCTATAACAATCTTCTAATCCTCAATGGACTCATTGAAGCTCGTGAAGTTGGTCTCATATAAAATGATACCCAGTATACCCCGGCCAAAATCTTAACTAAGGCTAATAGTTGGGTGCAACTACCAGGGAAAACTCTAATCATTTTTTTGTTCCCTCGCAAAGGAATCTGTTTACAAATAGGTTATAATTCATAATGTTAAGTGTAAGTGAGATAACATTGGAGGGTTTTTAGGCCCACGTTTGGTGTGTAAACCACAAACTTCAAACCCCGGCTAGAAGTTTGAGGTTAGAAGTGAGAAGTTACGAGATTTTCAGCTTTTTAGAGTGACGTTGGCTTTCATCTGAGAAAAGTCAACACGTGCGCCGCTATTCCACAAAGGATGGAGGAGATCCTTTACTTCAAACACAAAATGAGGCTAAAAAGTTCTATTTATTTATTTATTTTTTATTTTTATTCCTGCTATTCACACATTAGAAGAGAAATACACAAGAACTGACAACCAAAGGCGGGGGCTTAAATGGCCTAAGGTCAGCAAAAGATGTGAAAAATTTACAAGAGTAGAAGAAACCTTTAACTAAAATAATTACAATACAATTAAACCAAGAAAGAAAAGGTCAGTCAGAAAAAAAAAACTTACAATTGATATGTAATGCTTGGCAACTAGTTTAAATATTTTAACGACTAAGAATAAATTCCTATACACCACACAAACAAATAGAAACAAATACACCTAATATAGTCCCATAGGGATATGCAGATTATGCGTAGGCTAATTAACTACTCAGAGAAAAATACAGTCTTAATTTTTTTATATAGTTGCTTACTGTGAGATTATTGCGCACCGAAAACGGAATATTATTCCAAATAATAGGAGCTTACCAAGTGATAGCAAATTGATATTTATGAGAGGTTTTATGCAGATTGGACGTGAACAAGTCAAATAACATTGACTTCCAAACGGATTGCTTAAACAAAAAATACTTCGTGTAACACATATTTTCAGGACATGCGTGAGAACTTTCGAAGAGGAAGGTGAGAAGAAAAGGGCAAAGGGAGTTGACCCACCTGAAACTGCCTTGCCCAATCCGAAGTTCGAACCTGACCGCTGGATTCTGGCCACGTGACCCCTTGCAGTTTCCGGTCACACGTATTCAGAAGCAAACGTGGATCTAAGGGCCCGGACGCACTGGGCAAATTTTTGTTTGTTTTGCGAAAAAATCTGTCACCTTTCCTTGAGACAAGTGCAGATTTCTGCCATTTAAACACAATGCAGAACTTTCCAAAAGATTAAAATAAATTTGCTGAAACATTTGAAAAGATTACATAAACTGAAATAAAAAAATTTAAAAGAAATGAAAGAAAGAATACGAAAGTCGCGAAAAAATGGGAAAATCCTGTCCCTCTTCAAATAATGTATCTTTCATTAAGTCCGAAGGTCCCTAGTCTCCCTCACAGCCGTTTTTTTTGGATGTCACGAAACGCTCCCCAAAAGAACGGCTGCTGACAACCGAACTACATTCCTTTTGGGGGCGCGTTGCGTGACATAAAAAAAACGGCTGCGAGGGAGACTAGAAGGTCCCAGAAGCAACTGATTGAAACTTGAGCCGCTCTACAAAAGGAAATAACGTCAGGAAGTCAAGGACATTTAAGAACGTGATCATTGAGTACGAGACTGATTTCCTCTTTGCTTTTTTTAAATCTACAAGGTCACGCATAAATCATCTAGGGTTGGCTCGAACGGATAAAATTGTAGTTACGTTCAAGCCAGTGTAAATAGATTTTACACAACGAAGAACCGATGAAAAGGACAAAATATGATTGACACTTTGTTGCAATCGCTACATCTAAACTTTCTTCACAGAACAATATGATTTCTGTGTCTCAGCTGTCTTTCCTTCGAAGGTATGTGGTCAAACTTGTTTTCTTTCACGTTTGACGCGGACGGTATCACAACAACATTTCTACGCTTTAGTATCTATGGTCTGAATTGTGGATACAAAATTAAACAAATCGATTGACAGCGACTGATTTTGTAACGGTAAACTTTGAAAGTCACGGCATATTTCAACGAGCTACAGTAAAATAACTTTGAGACCATTTGTTGAAACTGAAGGAGGTTTCTACGTAGATGCTTCGACCGATAACATTAAAGTCTGATATTTCATTATCAATGAGGGAGTGCCACCTGGAATCGTAAAATTCGTTGAGAGGAATTCAAAACTAAAAAGAATGTGACTTTCCTCATAAGATAAATATTTTTTTCCTTCACAAGTTATTTTAAATTAGCTAAACCCAGCGAGTGCCGAAACAAGCACAGCCGCATAAAATTATGACTTATTTATAGGCACATTGTAGCCGCGTAATTACTCAATGTCTGTCACGCAAGAATGACTTCGTCGAACTGTGCTCCGTCTTAAGGCTATCGAATTCAGTTGTATCGTAAAGCAGGACGAAGCGTTTGTCGTAAAGAGAGACATTTTCGCATTCGTTGAGCCCTTCCACTGCCGAGCACAATGTTCAGAATTATTTAGACCTTTGCAAAAAATCTACTTGAAGTATCCTTTACAAGAATTTGCCACAATTTCTTTTGCATGAGACGTTAAAAATTAACCCGAAGGGTTTTCAACTATCTGTGTAAGTTCGGACGGGATAGGTTGAACAGGAATCGACTCGAAATGTTGCCTCTCAAATAAACCAGAATAACACGGCCGGTAACGTGCTAAACCATTATCATAATTCTCCATAGTTTGCTGTGCTACCTTGTGGCCGTCAGGAAGGTATGGACTACCTATGGCTAAAAGTGGTTGTCCAGGGGCAAACGGATTTCATTGGCAAACAGGGTACATCTACCAGGATCTCGAAAACAATGACAGTGTAACTACTATCTCGCCGAACTCACAGCTCAAAGGCCGTCTCTCGGCGGGTGATGTCGAACAGTATTTCTGCATAAAGGACGACTCAACAGCAACATTAGAAAGAAACCGACCCCGATGGCCTGCGGGGGAGTACTGCATCTATCAGAAAGGCTACGATTGTCCATATGGACTGTTGAGTGGGTGGGTATATTGGGATGACGAAGATGGAACAAACAAAAACTCCTACAACGGAGTTCTTCCAGAAGGGGTATTTGATCACGACACAAAGATATTCTATTGCTGTCAAAACACCAAAGACGGATATAAAGAACCAATCAAGCTTCCTTTTGCGTCTCCCTTCTACTTGATAGCGTTTAGACCACATTGCCAAGAAGTTCTGCACACCATTCATAAGAAAGAATACATCAAATATGACACAGAAAATTACGATAATCGAGACAGGAAATCGTTCCCATATCCGTTCGGAGCCGATTTCCATGAGCCGCAAATATATTACTGTTATTATAGAGGTAACTGGCTCTCTCATCATCAAGTTCTGGTTTGTAGCTACTAGCCATGATAAAAACATGTGATAGGCTGAAACGCTCACATAGAGCCAAATGAGTCGAGAAATGTAACCCCTTATTACGTTCGCCATATCTGAATGTCAACTGCAACAGGTTTACGAATTTCTGCAAATTTCGTAACCTGTATGACAGTCTTTTCCCTTTCCTTTCAGCAAAACAATCAATTTGAGTCACACAGAGGCGTGGGGAAAAAGCCATATGATTTCGTTGGATTGCCGTTTAGGTCAAGCTTCTCATGCTATACTGAATTTGTTAAAAGGAAACGGAATCAGAGAGGAAGGGATAGGCGTCCTTCCTGTCTATTCTAAACTCTCTTATTGAATTGATTTTGAAGGCCAACCACTCAGTTTCCAGCCTAGACCTCCATCATTTAAATTAAGCCCAGATGTTCTCTCTTTACCTGAGTTACCCAATCGGTTTTCGACCTCCTTACTTACTTAGTATCCCACCTCACAAGCCTGCCTGTGACAATCAACAGAAAAAATATCTTCTTAAGCCCGGACTAATAGATCAAGTGGAGGACATGATCGACAAAAAATCCTCGAAAGGACAATTAAAGGCAATTGTCTCGCAAACGACCCCTCCAAATCCGAACCTTACTTGGCAAGATAAAGTTTGATGGATGTCGTCTATCATTTTAAGTATACCTTCGTTTTCAAGAGGGAAGAAGGATGAAAAATTTCTATCGATGTTAAAACGCTAAATTTGGGGACTAAATGCAATATTTCACCCTTCAATGCAGTAGAATTCACTAAGCGACACCCTTAAACATCGAGGAAGAATTATTTGACGTTTATATAGTTTTTCTTAGCTTATAATTTTCCTTACATTTGAACAGAGTGTGCATGGACAATGACAACACTAAATGGCACATTCTGGAGTCCATACTATCCACAGAATTATAACAACAAGGCCTTGTGCAAGTGGCACATAAAAGTCCCTTGGAATTACGCTGTTTTGATCACTTTTGAAGACGTCAGTTTAGAGTGGAATGGCTGCAACTACGACTTTGTCAACGTGCGGGAAACATTTACCAACGGCACACAAGTTTTGATTGGTTCAGTCTGCGAAACGTCCACTCCACAAATAAGATCCAGTGGTAATAATGTTACGGTTGTTTTTCGCTCAGATGCTACTGTGTCAAAGAAAGGATTTAAGGCCAGATACCAAGCTATAAGGATAAGAGGTGAGCTTTAAAAATGCTAAAATATCAAGACGTATGATCACTTTCATAGTTACGTTTCACCTGTCTCGAAAAATTTGATGTTTCTGTATGCTTTATTTTAAGGGGTTTTTGCCCTTTCGGAAAAGCGATTGGAGACAGATATTTTTAAGAGAGGCAAAATCATACCAGCTTAACGTGTAACTGACGTTTTTACATGGTTTCTAAGCTAAAAAACCACGAACGAAAGTTTAAGAAAAAAATTGGAATGGCAGGGCGTAGCATAAGGGACCTTGACGTTCATATAAGTCCCCTCTATTTTACGAAAAGATTCAACTTGAGAGAAAAATACCTCTCACCAACCCATGGAAGGTTCCTACTTAGTTTTTTCCACAGCGATTTGTACTTTTCTCATGAGTCTCAACTTTCTTGAAGTTATTTTTCAAAATGAACCGCTAACTTTTTCAAAATAAAATGGGGACGGAAGGGGAAAATTGGGAGATTTTGTCCACACCAACAGCTTTACATTTTAAAGTGCCCCTGACCCCTAAATTTTTTTTCATTAAAAAAAATCTTCCTGCCTTGGTGAGTATTTCTTCGAAAAAATTGTTGGATTTGGTTAAATCCCCATTTTTTTATGCCGTGTTGAAGTCGAGATCCGAATTGACTACGACCGCGTAAATGGAGATCTGGGCAGAGTAGACTTGTGACGTTATCTCGAGAAGACGCTCAAGGAATTCTCAGCCAGCCGTCGAGCTGCGAAAGCCTTTCTAGCACTAGATTCCTTCTGTGGCATATTTGCGACCAATATCGATCTAACCTTCCAAACATAACCAGTAAACTGTGCAAAATGGCGCGAAATACAGATAATGGGGTTCTCGAAGTGACTCTTGATCCTTGAAACACGGTCGTGAGTCAAAATGGCGGTGATTTTAATGCGATTTTCCGTACTTCAACGGGGCACAAAAATTTAAGGATTTGACCAAATCCAAAAATTTTTTCGAAGAGATACTCACCAAAGCATGAAGATTTTTTTAAACGAAAAAAAATTTAGGGGTTGGCTGCACTTTAACGAGCTACTCATTAAGTACAGCTTGCAAAATTGACCGATTATTAGAACACTAGTAACTATCATAAAGGTCATTTATCAGAAGCCCTCCTTTTATTAGAAGAATTCTAACCTGCATTCTGACCGGAATGATACAGTCTGATTGGCTTCCCACTCGCTATCTACTGTGTGATAGATACTGAGTATCTATCAAGCGGTTGCTGTTTGGGTCATTTAAAACGTAAAAATTTTACGTTTTAAATGACTAGAAGATTTTAACTTATATTAAACAGTCGTATTATTCACTGTCAATTTTATGCGGAATAATTGATTCCCGGTGGGCTTTTCCCACATAACCACTAAATCTCATAATCAAGTACACTGTAGTTTAATTCCATCAAATGACAGTTAGAGGCTGGGATAGGAATCCTTGTCCGAATATTCTGCATATGCCTCCAACCGATGCTATATTTTCCAAACACAGCAGCCGAAACGACCACTAGTGCAACCTTTGCCTCAACTCAGACAAGTATTGTCGATGATAAAGCATCCACAACGTCATCAAGCGCAGAGACCACTGAAGAGATATCCTCTACCAGAGAGAGGAGATTCAGCTCTCGAGAAAAAGCAGATCACATCTCATCAACCATGGGAACTGAGGACATCTCTAAGACGAGAGGAGAAGGTTTTTCCGATACGTTGGACAATGAAAGCGCTGCAGCAAACACCTCCCTCATCGCTGCATTAAGTGCGTCTTTGGTAGTAATTTGTGCGATCGTCACAGTAGCTTTGTTTTGTTTTCACAAAAAGCGGTAAGTTCAACCGTTTGTTATCGATATTACGTCCTTAAAATGCCACATGGTTTTCCTATTTTAAGATATGAAGTGCCATTTTAAAATTTTTCTACCTTCGCAAGGGTACATAGCAAGTAGCATAGGAATCCGTTGTAAGTTGCTTTTATCATCTTATTTTAAAATCCAACTCCATCGATTATTAATAGCAACTTTAGGGTAAGCAAGATCTTTGGAAAATCTAAACAAAAATTTGCACACATTTAGTGAAGTAAAACGTACTGTTTCATCCAGTTATGATTAGCCAGTTTTTCACCTTATCAATGGCCAGGTGCATGGAATTGCAATCTATTTTGGGTCTTTTAAAGATATTGCAGGAGTAGCAGGAAAAATGAAAACCGGAAAGCACCTACAGTGAGCTTTCGACCAGATGAGAGCGCAGTCGACATCTACGCCACCCCAAGGTATGCGTGTAACACAAGACCTATGAAACTTCTTCGTCAGGGTTAAAATTCGACATTTGTCACAGATGGTCGTTTCGCTTCTACTTCACTTCTTGCATCTGCAGTAAATCCTCAAATTGGCGAGCCCGATGCGCGGTTGAGGTTGGGCGACGGGGCTTATAACAAGTGTGTTAATAAGAGGAATAAAACCAAAAACGTTTTCTTTTTCGCTTTTAGTTCTGGCCATAATGATGAACGAAATGATGATCGTTACGCATATGTCAACCCGCTGGGATGTATAACAACAAGTTAAACTAGCTTGCCAATTGTACTCATATAATCCAAACTATCACACTTAAAGCTTTTCCACGAAATGTGATTCCGAATTGTCTTCTTTCAGGGATGAAACAGTGAAGGAAAGTGACAACCCATTGTACGAAAGGTGAGCTTACAATGTACAGGAGTCAACTCTCGACGAAGCTTAGTTCATCAAGAGTATTATACTTTAATAACAAATCAAGACTGTCCTTGGGTCTTGATGTGCGTTATGCATGACACGCCAATGTTTAGCAACATTTCAAGCTTCAAAAAGGGTGTTCGATTCAAATTAAGCTACAATCCTACCAAACATTATCAAGACACCCTCCGAAAAAAAAAAATAGGGAGAAAATCAGTACTTTAAACTCACTGATGTACACAATACATATATCATTAATATTGGACAGCGATAATAATAATTAAAGAGGTAAAAGTTAATATCAAAAGGGGAGGGTTCAAAGAACCCCGTGACAGAAAGAACACGATATTTGGGTGCTTTCACAGAAGTGTCACAGTAAATCTTTTCAAAGGAGCTGGAAAAGTTATGTGAATGTCTTTAAAGTAATCGAATTGGAGCGTTCTTATAAATTAGAAGCACAAAGAAATATTTAGTCCCTTGGAAATAACGTGCATCCTACTGTAAGGAAGTAATTCCCATCCTCTTACTGAACCACATCTCAGATGAGCATTAGGTCAAACTATTAATTGATCATGATTCTTTAAGATTAAGAGCGAATCTAGAGAAGAATGCCTGTTTCTATTTAGTTTGTTTTTAATTTCAAATCTTAAATCATCTTCTCATTAAATCGTTTCTTCTAATTTTTCTCGTCTTAAATCAACAGTGATAGCATGGGTACCTCTGCAAGGAATACCATCAAAGAAAGTGAAAATCCTCTCCACACAGGCGGGTAAGCCAATAAGCACCATTCTGTTGATTCTTGGAAAGACAAGATAGGTTTTTTTTATTATTTGCCAGCAATTTATAGCTGTTTTTTTTTTTCTTCTTCGTCTTCTTTCAGCGCTGAATGTGGAAAGACAGGTGATGAGGGTATGCCGTTTGAAAGGTAGAGTACGGGCTTTGCATCAGAACACTGCCCACTTGTCTTGCAAAAACAAGAATGAATGCTAATTGGATTTCTCAGCCAAATTAAAAGTAAAATACGCATTCATCAAAAGTGAACTACGCATCAAAAAGCAAAACTACCAAATCATTCATCAAATTTAACGTTCAAAAGTTAAATAAAATTTAAAACGTTTATTTCATGCAGTTATAGTTGACATTGTAGTAGCAGCAGGAAAAATGAAAACCGGAAAGCACCTACAGTGAGCTTTCGACCAGACGAGAAAGCAATCGACATTTACGCCACCCCAAGGAATGTGCGTAATACAAGGAAAGACCTATAAAACTTCTTCGTCAGGGTTAAAATTCGACATTTGTCACTGATGGTCGTTTCGCTTCTACTTCACTTCTTGCATCTGCAGCAAATCCTCAAATTGGCGAGCCCGATGCGCGGTTGAGGTTGGGCGACGGGGCCTATAACATGTGTGTGAGTATGAGGAATATAATCAAACACGTTTGTTTTTTCGCTTTCAGTTCTGGCCATGATGATGAAAGAAATGATGATCGTTACGCATATGCCAACTCGCATGGGATGTATAACAACAGGTTAAACTAGTTTGCCAATTTTACTCATATAATCCAAACTATCGCACTTTAAGCTTTTCCACGAAATGTGACTCTGAATTGTCTTCTTTCAGTGATGAAACAGTGAAGGAAAGTGACAACCCATTGTACAAAAGGTGAGCTTACAATGCACAGGAGTCATCTCTCCACGAAGCTTAGTTCATCAAAAGTATTTTACTTTAATAATAAACCAAGACTGCCTGTGGGTCTTGATGAGCGTTATAGATGGCACACGAATGTTGAGCAACAATTCAAGCTTCAAAAAGGGGTAGTCGATCCAAATTAAGCTAAAATCTTACCAAACATTATCAAGACACCCTCCAAAAGAAACAAAAAACAAAAAAAAAAGGAAAAAGTCAGTACTTTAAACTCACTGATGTACACAATACATAGATCATTAATATTCGCGATTGAAAAGTGAATAAACTTCTTCCCACACCCTAATCAATGTGGACAGCGATAATAGTGATTAAAGAGGTAAAAGTTAATGTCAAACCGGGAAGGTTGAAAGAACCCCGTGACAGAAAGAACACGATATTTGGGTACTTTTATAGAAGTGTCACAGGAAATCTTTTCCAAGGAGCTAGAAAAGTTATATGAATCTGTCTTTAAAGTGATCGAATTGAAGCGTTCTTATAAACTAGAAGCACAAAGAAATATTGTGGTCTCTTGGAAATGACGTGCATTCTAGTGTCAGGAAGTAATCCCCATCATCTTACGGAACCACATCTCAGATGAGCATTAGGTCAAACTATTAATTGATCATCATTTTTGTAAGATTAAGGGCGAATTTAGAGACGTATTCCTGTTTCTATTTAAGTTTGTTCTTAATTTCCAATCTTGAATGATCTTCTCATTCTATCATTCCTTCCAATTTGTCTCGTCTTAAATCAACAGTGATAGTATGAGTACCTCCGAAAGAAATACCATCGAAGAAAGTGAAAATCCTCTCTACACAGGCGGGTAAGTCAATAAGCATTCATTCTGTTAATTCTTTGCAAAACAAGATCCTTTTTTTTTTCGGCAGCAATTTATAACTGTTTTTTTTTTCTTTCTGTGCTGAAAGTGGGAAGACAGTTGATGCGAGCATGTATGAAAGGTGGGGACCTATTACGGGCTTTGCATCAGAACACTGCCCACTTAATCGACCAATCCTAGCGTATGTCGTTACTGAGAGACACACTCATAAATGACTATGAGGCTTGCGCTGAAACAGGAGTTTACTAGAGAAGGGATATTACTGATTTTCTAAGCTAAATTAAAAGTAAAATACTCATTCATCAAAAGTGAACTACGCATCAAAAAGCACAACTACCAAATAATTCATCAAATGTAACGTTCGAAAGTTAAGTAACGTAAGACAAAGAGGATATTTCCAAACTAAATTCGTTGTCTTTGCGGCAGTCTTTCATTGAATAAACCATAACTAGATTCAAAGGCCATGGTTCCTACCGACTGCCCCCCCTCTCAACAGACCTCTCAACAGACCTCGCG